ATGTGGAAAAACAATCTTGAAACAGACATGTGAAGGTATTAATGACCGATACTGGATGGTAGCAATAAGGATCATTGTTACTTTCTTCTCTGTACTCTTTTGTATTTTTTTTAATTTCCAGGAAAAGTTGTAGAATTGTATTTGTATAATATTTCTGAATCCAGTCCATTCATTATTCACGGGCTGCCTGGCAGTGTCCCAACCCCCAGGCCAGCTGGATAGAAGAAAAGACAGTTATGCTGCCTACCAGGGTTGGTGAGATAGCAGGTTCCTTGAGGGTTATCTGTCTGTTCCCTTAGGAAGAGTTGGAATTCAGAGAAGAAGAATTTCATCCAGGCTTGAGCTAAACTTTGAAAATCAGTAGTGTTTGTTGGCGTGTAAGTGGCAAGGACAGCTCCCAGGTAAGAGACCCCCGGAATGGAGAAGACCAAGCCAGGGGTGATCTATGTCTGGAGCTTAGCACATGGTTGGGACAGTGTCTCCAGGGGAAACTGGAAAGTTGGTGACAGCCTTAAATTCAGTCTTTGGAGCTTGCATACTGTCAGGCCATGGTGGGCTAAGACTGAGCTGGCTGCATGATTTGCAGGGTCCACCAGAACAAATAAAAATGTAGGGTCCAGTCATTTAAAAAGCAAGGACAAGTGTCACTAAAGAGAAAAATAGGAAGTCTTTTCTTCCTCCCTTTTTCTACCCTCCCCCATTGTCATATTTTTAAATTTCCTGTTTAATGCCATTCTAAGTCAAAAAGTAAAATTTTAATCATTTAGCATGTATTTAGCAGTTGTGCATATTATGCAGATATCAGATTTATCATATTTAAATGCAGATAAAAGACCATTTAATTCCAACAAAACACTGAATTGGGGTTTGTAATATATGTTGGGAAGTTTCTTCAAGCCAGCTAGAAAAAACAAACTCAAGCTAGATTCAGGAAGATGCAAACCAAGGGAGTGTCCTTGGGCACCAGGATGCGGCCTGACATTGCCAGGATCCACCTCTTGCTAACTCCCTCTATCTCTGGTGAAGTCAAGCTTTACATCTCCCTTTCCCAAGGACCCACCATCCTAACCCACAGCATACTGGCCACATCCAAGGGTCTTTAAACCGCTGCTCTGAATATGCTAGCACCTGGGTCAAGCATGACCTAGAGATTATTTCAACCAGACCCAACCTCCAGCCAGCTGTCCCTGGGTGAGGCATGCACTGCCAGCCCAGAGAGAATAGCCTCTGCTCTACCTGGCGTAGTCCATGGCGGGACTGGAGCACCAAACCGGGACCTCCCAGGACTGGCACCAGGAGGGCTCCAGGGAATGCTGGGCCCTCTTCCAGTTTGATGCAGTTGACACCCAACCAAAGGGTAGCAGCAGTCAGGGGCACAGAGAGCCCATCCTGTTGGGGATGGGGAAGTGATCCAAATATGAGCTGAAGCTCCCAGCCCTCTGTGTGCACCATAGTGCCGGCAGTAACAAACACAGATTCAAAGATGAAATTATTAGGAATTTTAAGATGGCCGCAGGAGAGCATTAAACCAAGCGTAGGACCCTTCTACATGCCAGGCCCTGATGGACTGAGATGGCCAGGCTTCAGAAATGAGACAACAGAGCTCGCATTAGGAAGAATGATCTATTCATAGGGAGAGTTTTAAGGAGCCTCATTAACAATTCAGGCTGGACTCCAAGAACTCAAAATTAGATTTTGCAAATAAGTAATTATCTGGTATCAGACATCTGGTTCAAAGTAGACAATGGGTCACCAGGAACACAGCAAGGAAGGAGGCATTCCGTGGACTAGAGGGGGTAAGCAGGGCTTCTAGTTCTGTGTGTGTGTGTGTGTGTGTGTGTGTGTGCACGCGTGCGCGCGCGCGCAAGTGTTTTCTTGGCTCCTGAAGAGACTGAGTCTTGCTACAGACACATGACAAAGATGTACCATGATCAGAAAAAAAGCAGCGGGATGAAGGAAAGCACAGGTCAGATGTTGAAGCAAAACTCAGTAACCTCAGATGTGACATTCTCCAGTTCCAGGTGTGCCCTGCATCTAGAGGAATGTCCATAACCATGCTGCCATGGAGGTATGACAGGAAAGATGACAACATATATCACAAAGATATTCCAGCAGATGTTGGAATATATTATGGGATAAATTGTGAAGAAAGGTGCCTGGGTATTTCATGGGCATGAGTTTGCATCAGGAGTAGAAATTTTAACTTGAGGTGTCTTGGATTTTTCTAAAAGAATACCACGAGTGGGAACCATGGCAGTCAAGAGAATTTTTAGTGGGGCATAGTGGTGCATGCCTATAACGTCAGCACTCGGAAGGCTGAGGCAGGAGGAAATTATAAAATTATTAAAGCCAGCCTCAGCAACTTAGTGAGACATTGTCTCAAAGTAAAATATTTTTAAAAAGGGCTGAGATGTGACTCAGTGCTTAAGCGCCCCTGGATTCAATCCCCAGTACCAATAAAAATAAATAAATAAGACTTTTAAAGTCAAGTTGTTTGTAGCTTGAGCTCTGTTTGCTGCTTCACAGTCCTTTCCCATTTTGACAGGGGGCTCAATACTGCCTTAATATTTGGGGGGACTGAAGACAGAACCTATAGGACCTAATTGCTTGGATGGAGAAAAAAGGTCTGAAAGAAAGAAGGACATAAGTGATTGGGGCTCCTTGAAAAATTCCCATCTCACCTTGGAGTAGGGAAGACTCGAAGACTCAGAACCCAGAGGATGAAGAAGAAAATTGTCCTTGCTCAGTGTCCTTGGGGCTGGTTCCAGCATCCCCTATGGACACCCAGCTCCACAGATGCTCAACTCCTTTGCATAAAATGGCATAGTGTTTGCATATAACAGGTCCTGTGGTATGTTTTAAGTAATCTCTGGGTTGCATATAATACTTAGTACAACGTTCATTTTTTGATCTACGTTGGTTGAATCCACAGATGGAAAACTCGCACACAAACATGGCAGGCCAATGGTACCTTTAAATCTGGAAACAAAACTCAGAAACTTCTGAGTGGTTAAAAAAAAAAAAAAACAGCACAGGCTAGTCAAAGGGCAAATGACAAACTAGGAGAAGAGAGAGAGAGAGAGAGGGAAAAAAAGATGTGATTCATATCATCAGGATCAGTTTCCCTCATACTTAAAAAGAAGTTCCTGCAAATTAATAAGACGAGGACCACAACTCAATAGAAAAATGGGCAAAAGTTGGAATAGACAGTTAACAGGAAAGGAGATACAAAGAGCTCTTAAATATAAGAAAGGACACTTAATCTCAGAATAAAAGAAATGCAAATTAATGTTAGTGTGAGGACATTTTTGCACTTAGAAATCTGATAAAAAGCTTGGTGATACCTCTATGAAAACACTGTGGGGAAGCAAAAGTTCTCACGCATTTCAGGTAGTTATGTAAATTGGTGCAGCCCAAGGGCAAGCAGTATGGCAGTTTTTATCAAAATGACAAATTCATAGCCCCAAGGCCAGGTCTCTTTTAACTACCTCTCCAGACACCCCTTCTACCTTCCCTGCCCTCCACTTTGCCCAGGGTCTTGGTTCTCCAGTAGAGAACCACTGCCCCTTTGCCCTAAAGCTTCTGATTAGCTAATGGGAAACCCCAAGAAAAGAAAAGGAGAAAAGAAGGATATTTATCCCTGATCTCTTCCCTGCAGTCACCTGGGCCTCCTGTCAGCTCCTCACAGGATTCTCTGCTTCCAAATTCCAGTATTAGCACCTTCTCCTTTTCCCTTCAAGTCCTGAGTGGTAACAGCCCCGCCACCGCCCCCTGTTGTTATCTGGAGGAACTGCATGCTCCCCTATGGCCTGCCTGCGTTTTGCTCACACATTTATACATAGTCCTTTGATTAAAGTCATTCTGAAATTATCCTAACTGGGCTCTGCGGTTTGCTGTCACAACCCTGGCTCATACGCCCTTTGCTTAATGTCTTAGCCCATTTCATGCCACAGTGCCACAGGCTGGATAATTTATAATGAATGGAAATTTATTTTGCTTATGGTGTTAGAGGCTAGGAAGTCCAAGGTCAAGGGGCCATCCATATGTGGTGAGGGTCTTCTTGCTGCATCATAATGTGGACATCACATGGCAAGAAAGCAAGAGAGGACCAAACTTGCATTTACAACAAACTCTCTCCATAATAAACCTTCTTCCTCAATATCAAGGTTAATCCATTCTCACTTTCTCAGCTGTTGAATTGTGGATTAACTCTCTAGTACATGAACTTTAGAGGACACATTCAAATCCTAGTACCTAGCAATCCTACATCTGAAAGTCTGCCTGTGTAGACTTTCACATGTGCAAAATGATATGTGTCTAAGAGAATTCCTTGCAGAACAGATTAGAAACAATTCAAATGTCCATTGTAGGGGACTAGTTACATAAATTATAGTATGTCCATAGAAGAGAACATCATGCGACTATTTTTAAAACAAAAGCAAGAAAATTTTCTTTGATGGAAGTGCTTCCCAGATATATATGGAGTGGAAAAATCAAGAATAGAGTCTGTACATACTATCTCTTGCCTAAAAAGAGGGAGAAAATCAGAATATATATTTGTTTTTGCTATGCATAAAGGATTCACCAAAATAAAAGTTTTCTGAGAGGAACAAGACTCTTCACATTTTTGTAATGGATTTAAATTTTTTTTTAACCAAATGACCATGACTAGCTAAGAAATTGGTGCCAGAGCTGTTTGAGTAAATGGGGTAAATGATTCAGCTTCTTGGCAGGCTTGGAAAGGCTGGAGCCAGGAAGTTCCCTCTTTCTTGCTGACCTTTATTTATTTATTTATTTGTTTGTTTATTTATTTATTTTTGCTGCTGGGGATTGAACCCATGGCCTGTGTATGTGAGGTGAGGGAAGCACTCTACCAGCTGAGCTGTATCCCCAGCCCTCTTGCTGACCTTTTATTGTCATGTCTTTGCCCCCATTTTTATTCTTATAATTTAAATTAGAACTTCAGAATTTTGATCACCTAATGTTGGTTTTCCTTTCAGATGTGAAAATGAAGAAAGGACTTAACAACTAACAATGATGCTCTTGAGCCACGGTTCCTCAGCTGTCAGATCACGCAATTTGTGCCTCATGGGTAAGTACTGCTTTTCACCCCGGGTGTTTAAGAGCATGCCTATGTGTTCTTCACCCAGAGAGCAAACAGATTTCCTAGGCTGGAGGACCCAGATGGACCCGCCCAGTGTCAGGGGTTCAGCAGAAGGTAGTAAGTCAGTGCTAATGGCTTGGATTCAATACCGGTTTCTGCCTAATATTAATTATAGGGAACCAAACAGATGAGCAGGAAAAACATAAGCCACAACACTGTTGGGGACTGTCCTTGTGTACAACTGAAAGAGTGATTTTTCCTGCTACCCTCACTCCAATCCATTGTGGAGTTTATCACCCTACCCCTATATTTGGGAAGAGGCCAAACCCCTTCTCTCTTACCATTCCCCCAGAGAAAAATCATCCCTAAACTTAGGTTTCTGCATTTCATTTATTATTGATCTTTTTTATTTTTCCCTGGAGTCCTATTCATTCATGCCTTTTCTCTGCCTTCTTTCTGATAATAGTTCAGTATCTTAGTGTCTTCTGTTCCATATTTCATCAGTAGGCATCTGTTCATGGACAGTTGTCTCAGTGTAGACTGTCCACACACTGGGTAATGTACAGCTTCCTTGGTCTCCACCTGTAAAAATGCCAGGGGCCCCATATCCCCTAAAGCTATTGTGATACCCAGAAAACAAATGCTCCCCCCAACCTCAGGAGGATGAGACTCACCAATTCCCATTAAAATACCCTTTCTTCTTCTACCACCCTTTAAAGTGTGTTGGTTAGCAACATGCTTATTCATACCTGAGAATTTTTTTCAGATAGATAACTGCTTCTTAGGAGACTCCCTCAATCAGCCCAACCCTAGTTGTTAGTACCAGCTCCCAAATCCATCTTATTTTGGACCCCCTCAGGACACTGCTTGGACCATGTGTCATGGTACCAATGTCAACTAAGAACCATTTACTTGAGTATTTTTATTAGTACAACAAAGTCTCAATCCAATATTAATACATGAGTGTAAAAGAATATCAAACCTAGATTGTTTTAGGTTGAGCCCAGAGTAAACATTCTTGCTTTTCTAACTTGTTTTTCTTTTTCCCAGTGTACCTGAGTCTAATGTTCATCACTTCACACAATCTTCCTGGTAAGAGATGTTCTTGGCTTGATTAAATATTGGATAGGATCAAAGTGTTGGGGTGACCATTCAGATGTATAAAATATGGGAAATTTGATTTTTTGATCCCAAATACATTGCTTATTTTATTGGAATCCTTTTTCTGTAAAAGGAGGTCAAATTAACTACTCTTAATTTTCTTGTTTGTCCCACAAAACTGTTATAAGAAATTGATACTAGAGATCATTTACAAACCCCTTGAAAAAATATCTAGCTCCCAGTAGTCTCACTAACAGAAGAATAAGGAGACACACACTACGCCAACAAAAAAATAATTTCTATTTAATTTACATTCTTCCACCTGCTGGTTCCAAATAAAGAAAAATAATCTTTCATTAAATCTTACCTGCATATATAAATCTGTCTACAAAACTTCAATAGCTTCCCATATTAAATGTATGTATCGCCTTTTGCTAAATGGTGGGGATGAGGAGGTAGCAACCAGGAAGCAAAGGCCTTGGATCTTAACCACAGAAAACTTAGGTGATCTTTTAAAATTTTCCCAAAGAAAGTCAGGATTTGACAAGAGGAGCATTAGTCCCATTCGCCATTGCCACTTTCCAGTGCCTGCCACCGCATAACTAATCTCACGGTCTAGAAAATGGCTCTATTTGTGACTTAGCATTGTTGTGGGGCTTCAATGCCCAGGAAGGACCAGTCTGAGCACACCTTAGATGCCCTCCTACCCGTGACCAGGGGATTAATGCAGGGAGAATCCAGAGGAAGGAAAACTTGCAGTGGGCCAAGCTGAACTGCCTCTGGAGGGGCTGGAAGGGAGTGGGAAGCATACCAAGAGTCCAGGATGAACTGGATCCTTTTGGTCTGGTGAGCTACAGAAAGTCCCTGATTGGAGAAGCCCTTCAGTCCAAATTCTGTTTACACAGTGCCGAATTCCTGGTTCCTAAGCTTTGCTACCCTGACAGCATATTACTCATTAATAAGCTGTATTAGTTAATTTCCCATGTCTGGAGTTTCCAAGATACCAGGCTTCCAGAAGACGCCTCTCTGCAGAGGCCCCAGTCCTAACTAGATCCCAAGGGACAGACTGAACAGTGGCCAGAAAGCCACCCTGGGCTCAAAATTTCAATGCCTCTTTTCTCCTCCTGTTCTCTTTATGTCTTTCAGATGGAAGTTGTAATTTAAAGATGACATTTCGAGATTTCCGGTTAATTCTATCATGGGAATTAGAAAAACAATCCACCGTGCCAACTCACTATACATTATGGTATACAGTCATGAGGTTGGTTACATCTCATTTTTCTCTTGCTAAACATATCATCTTTTGATTATGTGGTGTCTTCCCCCGCCCCATTGTTTATTGGAGTCTTTTTGACCAAAGGTAAAACACCCATTCATTTTTTTTCTTTTCATACTTACATATGTGTTTATTAGCAAATATGATAATTATAGAACTAGTAACAATGTGATAAAATAGAGGAGGTGTATAAAATTAAATATTGTGCTCAATTTGAACTTCTTGTCATGTAAAGTCTACTGTATTCTCTCCTGGTTTGTTTTGTTTTGTTTTTTTAATGCAACTAAAGTAAACAAAGAAAATTATATTACAGAGTATTTTTGTGGCAGTAAAGGAAGGAAATAGTTTTGTCACCCATTTGTTTTTAATTAATTTGAATGCTTCCATAATCCAAAGCTATTTTTGACAAAGCTGTATTTATTACCAAAGTCAATATCTACATGTCAGAACCTCAGAAGCAAAACAGTTATAGGGTTCTCACAAATGATTTCTCTAATTCAGTCAATCTGAATGTTTAAAAGTCCTGTGTTTTCCAAAAGTCCAAAGGTCTATTGACCATATTGATGGTTTATGTTCAGTTTTCTTTACTCAAAGAGGCATGTGGGACACCAGAGAGAAGTCTGGACCAATCCAGCACATGCTGGGTACTAAGAATGGTATGATCCTTGACCAGCTTGACACTCAGCTTGGGGCTCAGCCTCTGTGTGTTAATGCCACCACTTAGGGGTGTTGCGAAAATCAGTGACATAATGGATGGAAAACTTCTTTGTCTCCCTTCTTCCCGCATCTGACATTGCTATCATAAGTGGTTCCTTTGATCCAGTAGCCCCTTGGAGTGTCCTTTCGCTGATGGTTTATTTGGCTTGTAGCTGTTGCTGCTGGCCCAGGGGAGGATGTGTTGTGAGTTTCTCCTCTGCCTGCTAAAGCCTTAAAATTTCTCTCTGCACTGAGTGCTCACATGTGTTGTCTACCTACCTTTCTGTGGCTTGGTACAGCAGATACCTGTATTGTCTCTAAACTAGCTCAGGGATGAATTAGGACTAGACCATGTGGCTTTCAGCTAGAGAGGGAGGGAGAGAGTCTCTGGAAAAGCAGTCATTATTTTCCTGAAGGGGGAGAAAGATCTAAGGCCTCTATGATGAAAGCCCAAGGTTCATTCATTAATTCATCCAGCAAATATTTGCTGAGCACCTACTATATACCAGTAGATCCATCTGTGAGCCAAAGTCCCTACCCTCTGTGGGCTGAAATTCTGAAAGTGGAGACATCATTAAACAAATACAGGTATAATGTGATAAGTGGAGATAAATACTATGAAGAAAAATGTTGAAAGGTAAGAGGGATTGAGGGGTGGGGGTGGGGAAAGGATCAAGTGTTGAATTTCCAATAAGGTGGTTAGGGAAGACAGGGCCCTAGAGGAAGTGAGGCACACAGACTGGATTCTAAATACCTAAAATGCTGAAGTTTTCCATTTTCTATTTATTTCCTTTCCAAAGTAAACCAGACGATATGGAGATTATTGAGAGCTGTACAAATGTCACCACGCCATTTTGTGATGTAACGGATGTGTGGAAACAAGCGTTTGAGACCTATGTTCTCAAAGTGCTGGGATTCCGAGGGAAAGCAATGCTGTTCAACTGCACCAGCTCCGCCTTGTCCACCAACAGTGAGTAGATCTGTTTCTCTATGGCTTCCTCCTCCTCATGATCATCATTATTTGCTCTGCCATGAGAAAGGAAGGGCTGCAAAGGTGTCTTGGATTCAGAGCTAGGCTTCCTTGTGGCTTGCTATTTCCTCATTCTGTAACAGGGACTAGTTACAGGAGCTTCTCTGAGTCTCAGCTTTCTTACCTGAGAATGGAACCTGTTCTTTGCAGATGGTGGCTCCAGACCTCTGCAAAGCAAGCTCTCCTGGGCATTAGTAGCTGCTATTTTTCTGTTCGCTTTGCATTCTGACAGGAAGTAGGGAGCAGGGTTCAAGTACCTTGTATCTAAACATCAGGCTTCTTTGGGCCAGTATTTCCCTTGTACCACAACCCCACCCCAGATTGAAACTCAACTGCTAAATCTTGCACGTGCAAACACCCAGATGTGAATACAGCTAGGGCCCAAAGCAGCATAGAGGCAAAGAGCATAGGTCTTCTTCATCCTTCCTTTCTCTGTACCCAGTGTCCACACGCTAAGGCATTTGCATTAATAGGTCCAGCTTCATCACTTTTTTCAGTTTTCCAAATTTCAACTTGTTTCCAAGAGAACGGGTCAGCTTTGGCCCTGTTACAGGGTGCGTGGGAGTGTACACACACACGCACGTACACACACACGCACGTACACACACACACACACACACACAGTTTTCACAAAGTCGTGATGATGGCTGAATCCCATGCTTGTGAGATTGATGAACAGGAGTGCACCTTTGGAACGAACAGTCATATCTGTGTGTATGTGTAGAAAGGAAAGGAGAGCACAGTATATAGACTGTGGTGTTGGGATTGTTGAAGAATGTGTAATGAAGTAATAATGAGGTCTTTTTCGTGGTCCAAATGACAAATATGAAAAGTACATAAAGAGAGAGGACTAGAAGGAATGCAGAGTGTCCTTGGACACAGTCCTTCTCTAGGTATTGGGCAGTGGTATTAAAAACGTGAGCACTGCCAGGTGCGGTGGCGCATACCTGTAATCCCAGGGGCTGGGGAGGCAGGAGGATCATGAGTTCAAAGCCAGCCTCAGCAAAAGCAAGGCACTAAGTAATTCAGTGAGACCCTGCCTCTAAATAAAATACAAAATAGGGTTGGGGATGAGTCTCAGTGGTCGAGTGCCCCTGAGTTCAATGCCCGGTACCCACCCACCCCCCAAAAAACCTGAGCATGTTTGTGCTCAAATCCAGAATTCCACTTTGCCCTAAAGACATCATTAGAAGAAATGCAAAGATTTAGTTCCAAAAATATTTAACTGATACCTCAGTTCCGTTCAGAAAAGTAGAGATAATCTAAATGTTCAAAACAGTGAATCAGTTAAATCACAGTTCATCCACTTGGAGGAACTGAATTAACCATAAACAATTATGGTGTAGGGGACTGGTAGACTTTCTGTAAAGGACCAAAGAAGGAATAGTTTAGAGTTTTGTGAACCACATATGGTCTCTGGCTCATATTCTTCTTCATCTCTGTTTATAATCTTTAATAAACTTGCAGACTGGCCTTTGATGTAGGTAAATATGTGTCAATATGTTTATAAAATGTGGTTAAGTGAAATTATGTGTCATAAAAACAGTGTAGGTTAAGTTATTTAATTTTAGTTTATATAAATGTGTGTGTATGTGTGTGTATATATGCATATTTATGTTTGTAAATATGTGTATCCTTGTTTAGTTAATACATGTGAATATGCATGTATTTTTTTTTCTTTCTTTTTTTTTAATTTGCATGTATTTATATATACACAAAAGATGATTAAGACAATTGCCTATACATATTTTCTACAATGATTAAGTGTTAGTAGTAGTACATTTCATTATTGAAATATAAAAATGAGTCTTTTTAATTTTGTTTAGAAGACAGAACAAAAATTGGCAAAATGACCGTGTTCAAACAACAGGGGGTGTTGTTGATATGCAGTCATCAACTCAGGTGGGATTTTGTTTCTGTTTTCTAAACAGTATTGTATGAGCCACCGGAGTTTGAGATTGTTGGCTTTACAGACCACATTAATGTGATAGTGAAATTTCCACCTATTGCTCCCAAGATTTATGGGGAAGAAATACGGCACCATTTATCACTTTGCATCAAAGAAGAATCCATGGGGATTGTTAAGATGGTAAGTAAGTGGTCTCTGACACTAGGCTCAAAACAGTTCTGAGTGGGCACTAACAGACTCGACTCTCAAAAACAGAAATGTGTAGTTGCGAAATTCAAACCAATGGGTCTGGGCTTGAATGTGGCCTAAATTTAGGAAAGAAGAAGTCCGTTTATTGCTGAGATATCTTGATTTAGCCCAGTTGTGAGCTCTTTAAGAGAATAAGCCATGCACACAGCATCAGGGGACACAGAAGAGAGAAGTGTGTGGCGTAGATGGGGGGATGGCCAAATCTCAGCAAGCCAGGGTGACATTTCCTTGAAAGGGCAGTTTAGCTGAGCCATGCATGGAAAACACCTGTTGCTGCCTCTCCATTCCTCAGACACAGCACAGAAAGTGGCACTTTCCAGCAGTTCTGTCTCCACCCAATCTCCCCAAAGGACCCAACTGAATGTCAGTAACCTCTGGGTGACCCTGGTACTCACCAGTAGGCCTTGCTCTATTAGCATCTTTTATTTGCAGAGCCCTTTGCCAGTTGAGCCTTGCACTAAGACCAGCCCTCAGGATTAGGGCAAGGGCACTTCAAACCCAGGGCACAGGAAGTTCAGAGGCCGTGAGGTTGGAGTGGGCCTGGTGGCTCACTTGAGAAATGGCAGGAGGAGGTGACTGGAGTAAAGAAAACAGGATGGGTAAGGTCCAAGAGGGAATGAAGCCAGACCTTGGAGGGCTTTGCGATTCCAGGTCTCCTGAGTATGAGAGAAGCAGCCCCTGACCTAACAGGATGTCCTGGCTGGTACGTAAGGACAGACCGTAGGTGGCAGAAGCCAAAGTTGAGATACTATTTGGATGGTAATCACTTAATAAGCAGCAATAAACTATATAATTACTATCATTTTCCTTTAATATCCACATGGGATTATAATCAACACCCTAGGAAAAGAGAACAAAATAATAGGGGAAAAATAAGTTTATATGACTCAAGGACTGTGTCAGATACCATTAACTATTATATTTCAGCCCCATCTCTTTATGTTCCAACCATGAGCTATGAACTATTACAAATTAATATTTCTAAAATGCTTATTAGACAATTAACACCACTGTAAAATTTTGGTTGACAGGCATCTTCTTTAAATTACATTTTTTTAAAAAAAAAAAAAAAGGTTACTCCCCAGGTAAGGGGAGGGGCAGAGAGAGAGAGAGAGAGAGAGAAAGGGAGAGATGCTTGGATTATTTGGTGGTAGTGGAGGTAGTGAGGAGCAATCAAATTCTGCATGGGGTTTGCAAGTGGAGCACAGTTATTTTCATTTAAGTCGGATTCATAATGAGGTAAAAGAAGAAGGAAGTTAGGACTCCATCACTTGGACTTGTCATTAACTAAAATAGGGAAGATTATGGATGAAGTTGGTGAGAGTCGGATGGCAGCTCAGTTTGAGACATGTCAAGTTCAAGGCACCTAAAAGGAGATCTGGGGCAGGAGTTGGATGTACCAAGTGTTCGGTGGTGATCTCCCAGCTAAAGAGGGGTCCTGGGAAACCACTCACTCCTGCATATTGAAGGCCCTGAGATCAGACTCTAGATTAGAGCAGCTTTGGTGAGTCACGGGGCAAAGGGCTGGTTGGAGTGAGTTCAAGAAAGAGGGAGAAGAATTAGAGAGCTCATTCTTCTGAGGAGTTTTTCTATAATGAGAATAAGGGATATGAACTGATAGGTGGAGGAAAAGGGAAGATGGAGTGAAGGGAGAGACTTTTTAAGATGAGAGAAATTGCAGCATGTTCACATGCAGAGGAAAAGTCTCAGGGGAGGTTGCTAGATCAATGTTCTAGCATAACTGCAGTGGGTGGGGTCTCAAGAAGTGGCTGGGAGCATTGCCAGTCACAGGAGTGGAGTGTGCAACACAGATGTATAAAGGAGGGTCTCTTTGTACATTTTCTGTTATTATAACAAAATACCTGAAGTTACATACCTTGTAGAGAAAAGAGGATAATTTGGGCTCATGGCTCTAGAGGTCCAAGGTCGAGAGATTGCTTCTGATGATGGCCTTCTTGCTGGCAGAGTCTGGAAGTGACAGAGGGCATCACATGGTCAGAAACAGAAAGCATGTGTGTCTCTTCTGGTCTTTTTCTGTCATCAAACCACCTGTATTCAACCTGGGGCTCCACCCTGGTGAACTTAACCAGTACTAATCACCTCCCATAGGCCCTTCCTCCAAACACTAGAGTCAATTTTCAGGACCCTTACTACCTCACAGTAAGGATTAAATTTCCACACATGAATGCTTGAGGGACACTCAAAACCATGCTCAAACCACAGCGCAGGACCATTGTGGGAACTTCTGTTTGCTTGGTGGGAAATAGGAAGTCGGCAGTAGAGACTTGCTCAAGGCCCCATGGATCCCAGATGTTCTGTCCTCTGCCACGTTGTGCTTTTCCGTGGGAGGCAAGAGCCCTCCCACCACGCTGTTTCCACTCTTTGTCACCTTTTCCTTCTTCATTACTTACTTCCACGCATGAGCTTTGACTTTGTTTTGTGTGTGTGTATTTAATAGCTCCTTCTCCTTCCCAAAGAAATGTATAGAAACATATTATCACCAAAGGCTGCCTTCGAACTGCTAGAAATCCCAATTTACAGAACTGCTGGTGAGAATATATTTTAGAAACTATAGAATGAAAAATTTTTTAAATTGTTATTCAGGAAAGAGCCTTCATAACATCTTTTTAATTCCAAAGTGAAACCAAACTGCAGGGGAAAGGAAGGGGTGGGGTGAGTTAGCCAGCAGCCTCAGGGCGTGGCTGCAGACAAGCTCTGTGACCTGGAGAAGTTACCTGGCCACTTCAGCTGTGGTTTCCACATCTGCAGAATGGAATGATGCCTAGGCTGTTTTGAGAGTCAGAGGAGTTACCCTAGTGGAAGTCCTTTCTGAAGTGTAAACTAGATACACATTATCAATTCAATAAGATCATCTTGAAAAATGGCAGGCTAGAGACCTTTATCATCTTTGGGACCTTTTCTCCTCATGTGTATAATGAAGTTGGTAGACTAGATTTTATGGTTTTCATATATGTGTGTGCCTAGGCATAAATACATGTAGTTTTGTGGTGATCCTGTGATATTTCTAACCCTATTTGAAATTTGAAGATGGAACCTCAAGGAGTCTCTTACAGAGCTACCTCCAAATGAAATTCTCATGTGAGTCTTACTGTTGTTTTTTTTGTTTTGTTTTGTTTTTGCTTCTTTTTACAGCATGAACCCAAAATAAATGGAAACACCACTGGAAATTTCAACTATGTCATTGACAATTTAATTCCAAACACAAACTACTGTATATCTGTTTATTTTAAACCTAAATATCTGGAAACAAGAATACAGTCTCCCTCAAAATGCACCTTCCTTCGCCTTGACCAGGAATCAGGTGTGTGGCTTTCTGAAAATCATGTTTTGAAATTTCAATAGGTTTACTCTGAAGAAAACCTATTGAAAGCAAAGAATGTGGGATTCATGGCATGCTGAAATTGCTTGAAGCAACTGCATGCAGAGGCATGGGAGGGTGCCCACTAGCTGGCTGCCTGAGGCTGGGTGTGGTCTGTAGATAAGACCTGGCTCCCAGCAGCATTGACTCTAGCTCACAGATGAGAGCGAGCTGAGCCTTGCCAGCAAGGAGGAGAAGGTGAATGACGAAGGTGGAAAGCCTTTCTGTTGCAAAAACACCAGAATAGCCAACAGTGTGATCTTGAACCCTCTTCTGTGTGCAGAAGTGTGCAGGAGAATGATAGAGCTTAGGAGTTTTCCCTGCTGGTTATTTTCTCAGGAAGTCACTATATTGCCAACTGTTGTAACAAAAGGGAAAAATCTATGAAAGGTCTTCTGGCAAGAAGCTCTTCTAATCTTCCCAGCCCTGGTGGAAGTATCTTTAATGTTCTGCTTTACCAGAGTAAGATAAGTGGGATGTGTAAGGAGATGACTTTAAGTGACATGGTTGTTGCACATGCAGTAAGACATGCAGCAGTACCTGGCTGCAACTGGCTGTGGCGATAGCACATTGTGATTTTGTCCTCTCGTGTTCCTCAAAGCTGAATGATGCACATATGGGCTGATTTTAAAGGAAAAAGAATCTCAATCCTCTCGTTTCAGTTGTTTTTACAATATCAATTAAACAAGAGAAAACCAAAAACTGCATAGAATCTTTTTCCCTTTAGCTCTTACAAACATATAAACACAGAAGAAATTTATGTAATTATGTTCTTTTTTTTTTGCATTTCTCATTTTTATTTGAAAGAAAAAGTTGCTCTTGCTGTACAGATTTTTAAAAAATGAAAATGCCTTTTAAGAAACATGAAGAAAAATTGGGGGAGGGGGCCACAACCTCATGGGGGTAGGGGCCAGCTAATTTTTTAACTCCTGTCCCTTCCATCCAAGAACACCTCAACATAACTTCTAAATTCTAAACCATTACCCCCAGGAACTTCAGGCGGCTGCACCTCCCAGGGCCTCTCTGATTCTAGGCCTCAGGGTCTGAACTGTATCCTCTCCTCCCCCATGTAATCATGTTCTAACGCCAGTTATCTGACCTCAAGATGTCCAACAATCCAATTCATTTCTGATACTAACTACCCCTACTTCAGATAGCAGTCACAAGTTTTGGGTCCCCAAGTCAACTTGACTACAAATTAGAGAGTTCCTTTTAGGTTCTGCATCTCTCTGACCTAACCTATTACTCTTTTGTAATCAAAATTTGCTAAAATTGACTCACAGAACTCAGTGACATGCCACACTTCTGATTACCATTTTACTACAGAGCCTGTGCACCAAGACCTAATGCAGAAGTACGTAGAACCAGGTCTGGAAGGGGTCCCAATGCAGGAGCTTCTGCCTCCATAGAATCAGGGTGTACCCCCTCCCAGTACTCCCAGTATGTTCACCCACCCAGGAGCTCCCAAGCCTTAGTGTTCTGGGCTTTATTGAGTTTCACTATATAGGTGTGATTGGCTAAATCATTGGCCATAAGATTGGACATAGTCTCCATCTTCTCTCTCCTCCTGGGGATAGGGCTGGGAGGAAGTTCCAACCCTCTGATCAAATGATTAGTTTTTCTATTGATCTGCCTTCGTCCTGAAGATACCTAGCTGCACCCCATGAGTCATTTAATTAGCATAAACTCAGAAATCAGTCTTAGCCTATTTTCTGCTGCTATAACAGAGTCTTGGAACTGGGTAGCAGGATGGAGGACATCACATATGGGGGAGAGTGCTCATTTTATAACAAAACTACTTCCAACATCTAACCCTTTCCCACAATACCAGCATTACTCCATTCAGAAGGGCAGGGTCCCATGATTCATATACCTCCCCAAAACATCACAGTGACAATTAAATTTCAATGAGCTTTGGAGGAGTCATTTCAACCACAGTAGTCCCTAAATGGGGCTTGTTAGAATTAACAAAAGATACTGCTGTCTTTTAGGAAGTTCCACAGCTTTTGAGGTTTTATGCCCAGGACAAAAACCAGAGATTCCAGAGGTAGATTGATGGGTGGATGGATGGATAGATAGATAAAGAGACATAAATGAAATTATATCCTAGTCTTATATAAAAACAGAACTCTCGCATATATAATACAACTTAAATTGTTAAAATGACAATAGGATGATGCTTTGATGAAACCCAGAGCTGCTGATTGGGCAGCTGACAGTTCTTTGGAGGCTGACATGTCTGGGAGGATGCGCTTCCCCCTGACTTTTCTCTAATCCACCTGCTGAGAAATGGTCATGCAGCACCGTCCAGTCATTCCATCTGCACTTGGCCTGACCACGTCCTCTTGCCTATTAAGTCAGCTTTCACTCATCCGTCATGTCCAAGACAGTTAGACTATCCAAATACTTGACATCTGGATTCTTCTCGTCTGAAACTCAGGAACCAAATAGGTTTGAATACGGTGGCATCTGTCCCTATCTGCTCACCATCTGAACTGCCCTCAACTAGACAAGCTCAAGATCCACACAGGGCAAATGCTGAGGGGTTTGGAGGGGCAACCTGAGACCAGCACTGACTTACTCAGACCCAGCAAAAGCACTGCAGGCTTGGATGGATCAGACTGATGGGGTGGTTGGGCAGAGTGGGCTGGGCATGGGATGGCAAGTGTGAGCTGAGCAAAGGAAGAAGAGTAACAGGTTAGTCATAGAGATGGAGGACCCAGATGTGGGACTTTGGATGCCATTGTGGGGACCCCGAAGGGATGTGAACAGATCTGAATGTCTGGTTGCCACCAGGTGGGGGAGCCAGGGGACTAATGGGCTGGAACTACGGTAACCTAGATGCCATGTCGTGGTTTTCGGTCCACACCAATAAACTGACATTAGTCATCAATCAGCCTTTTGACAAAGTTCTTTTTCTTTTCCATTAAAAAAGAAAATAGTAATCAGATATTACCATTCTTGTTGCTCAGCTCAGCCCTCTGCTCATAAGGTCCTTTATTTTTTTGAAAATCCAAATTTTGAAGACACAACCTGGTCTCCCCTTCTCAAGATGCATTGATCTTACCCCTCTTTTATGAAAAAGATGGTTAACAGAAATAAAGTCCACTTACAACTTCCTCCTGAGTTGGAACATCGAAACAATTCCTCTCTTTTCAAATAGGAATATTTTAAAATAGTATACTTGCATAATCTACCAGTCTTTTTAGATTATCATCGAGCTAAATATAAACATTATAGGCCCATGCCTATAATCCCAGCAATTCAGGAGGCTGAAACAGGAGGATGGCAAGTTTTGAGGCCAGCCCCAGCAAATTGGTAAGGCCCTAAACAACTTTGTGAGACCTTGTCTCAAAATAAAAAGTAAAATGGACTGGGGATGTAGCTCAGTGGTAAAGTGCCCCTGGGTTAAATCCCTAGTACCAAACAATAAAAAAATAAATAAAGACAAAAATTTTAAGTTTTCACAAAGAATGCTCAGATTTGTGAGAATACCCCAATTTGACAAGCATTGTTCTAGCTTGTTAATTTCAATTTACATAATTTAGTTTGTAGGATGTCCTATTTTAAAGATTGCATTTGGTCTGTGTTAGTTGCCTTTATGTTACTGTAACAAAACCTGAGATAATCAACTTGTAAAGAGGAAAGGTTTTTTTTTATTTTGGCTCAAGTTTTGGAAGTTTTGGTCCATGGTCGATTGGTCCAGTCGCTCTGGAGAGGCAGCACATCTCAGTGGAGGGCACATGGCAGTGCAAACTGGTCATCTCATGGCTGGGAGCAAGAGTCAGAGAGAGAGGTGACTGGGTCCCATTGTCCCCTTCAAGAGCATGCCCATAGTGACCAGAAGATCTCTCACTAGGCCCTCCCTCTTAAATGTTTTCCAACACCTCCCAATAGCACCACAGACGGAGGACCAAGCCTTTAACACAAGAGCCTTTGGGGTACATTCTAGACATTCCAAACTACAGCAAGATCCTTTGTAGCTACTCTCCAGAAATTGAATGGGTACATGAGTCATTAGTGTGATGAAGAACTGAGCTTCTAATTCTGCACAATTTTATTTGTTTATATTTAAACAGTCACAGCTAGTGGGACAGTGCAGTTACAGAACATAAACCAAAAGAAATTTCACTTTGAAATACATGAAAAGCTAAATATATTTTATTGGTTAAAGAGTACGCCCTTGCCTTGCTCTCCAAGCTTTGGTATTTAGCAAATAGAAAACATTTTTCAAACTTCTGTTTCTCAGATAATCACTTTCTAACCCCTGACCAATGTGCATTTATTCCCATCTGTGATCATTTATTGGATGTCTTTTGAAATAAAGTCTTTTTTTTTTCAAACAGAATCATCCGAAAATGCCAAAATAAGTGTGATAATCACTGTGTTTTCAGTAGTCTTCGTCCTCCTAGGCACCATCGTACTACTGAAGCGAATTGGTTACATATGCTTAAGAGATAATTTTCCCAAAGTCCTGGTATGTGGTTTTAAAAATTTTTGTATCTTAATTTTTCTAAACTAAAAATTTTTACTATATATTTAAATGTTTTCATAGAAGAAAGTTCATTTCCATAAACACTAACAAGTCTTATCAGGCTGGGTTCTTTTCCATCCCTGCAAAAATATATTTTGCAGTTACAGTGCGTCTGTGCCTTATGTTTTCTCTTCATATACTGTCCACCTATTATTTATTTCCACCTATTATATTATTTCTAATGACTACACAGAATTCCACTGTTATTATTGTATCACATTTTTAACTACAGCACATTTGGATTGATTTCTTTTTCACTTCTTTTCCTTTCTTTCCTTGGACATTATAAATAGTGCAAAGGAAATTATTGTATGGATTATGTTTTGTTTTATTTTGAATTATTTCAGTGGAATCTACACACCAAGTAGATCTATCTTATAAATGATATTTTAAAGAACTGATGCTAAGCTAGGCACAGTGGCATACACCTGTAATCCCAGGGGCTCTGGAGGCTGAGGCAGGAGGATCACGAGTTTAAAGCCAGCCTCAGTAACTTAGTGAGGCCCCAAGCAACTCAGAGAGACCCTGTCTCTAAATAAAATATTTTTAAAAGGGCTGGGGATGTGGCTCAGTGGTTAAGTGCCCCTGGTTCAACCCCTAATGCCAAAAAAAAAAAAAAAAACCTACAAGAACTGAGCCAGTAGTGATGTGTATCTCTCTCTAATGCTCCACTGACCACAATGAATCATTTTTACTGTCTTTATTCATTGTGTACATAAGGCTCCCTGGGAGGTGCTCTCATGTGTGTTACTTTGATTATTAACAAAAACAGCCATTTGTTTACCTTCATTTCCTCTCTGTGCTTCTCAAACTTAGAGCCTTTACAGAGGCTAGATATTGATCGTACACTTTTTTAAACCTCGTGGTTTTTTTTTTTTTACTCGACTGCATTCACCCATCATTTTCCATTTTCCCTATTTTATTCCTTCCTTTTATGTTAGTAACATTTAGAAATACATTATTGTTTATGTTTGAACTCATACACCTAATTCTAATTTTTCAGCAGCCATTATAATTAAACATTACTTCATGGTTGATAGAAGTGCACTCCTAGGCCGGGCGTGGTGGTGCACCCTGTAAGCCCAGCAGCTTGGGAGGCTGAGGCAGGAGGATCATGAGTTCAAAGCCAGCCTCAGCAATTTAGTGAGATTCTCTCTCTAAATAAATGAAATATAAAAAGGGGATGGAGGATGTAGCTTTTGGTTCAATCCCCTGGTACCAAAAAAAAAAGTGCATTCTTCATGCTCATCTTACCATGTTGACATCTTATGTCTGTCTAGTATTTCTCCATTAAAAATTGTTACTCTATGTTTAGGTTAAAAACCCTGGGAATGGAGAAACTGACTCTAGGCCTAGCACCTTTGCTTATGTGTGTTCAATCAAGAATAGCTGTTATGAGCTGGGGTTGTGGCTCAGTGGTAGAGCACTTGCCTGGCATGTGTGAGGCCCTGGGTTTGATCCTCAGCACCACGTATAAATAAATGAATAGTCCATTGACAACTAAAAAAAAATTAAAAATAAAAAAAGAACAGCTGTTAACATTTTTTTAAGCAGCATCTTCTCTTCATTTAGCAAGTGTAACAAACATGTCAACATGTTTCTGGGTGTGGAGGACACAGCAGGACAAAAACCCCCGCCCTCATACACCTTAGAGTTGAAAGTGCTGTAGAGACAAGATACTTTATTGGTGATATATGATTGTCTAAATTTTAAAAGTCACATGATTCTAAAGATAAACTATTTAGGATTAATACATTTAGCAAAGTCCTCATATTCAAAAATATTTGGGAAAGACTGCATCTGTACTGACTTGTTTTCTTGTCGTTGTTGCCGAAGCAATACAGTATGCCAGCCATGCACAAAGCTGTCCCTCCAGGGGACTGACAGTTGAAAGGGAATGCGTGGAGGTTCCATGCAAATGCACTGCGTTATATAAGGCACGTGCGCTCAGGGGATCTGGAGGGCCAGCTGTGCCATGCACCAGGAGCCAGCCTGGCACCAGTGAGCACTACCTAACCCCGGCTCCCCCTGTTGTTCCTGCAGTCATCATCCCCATCTGTCATGGTGCAGTGGCTACTCAGCTTTATTATGTAGAAAATAAAGAGCAAACACAGTAATAGACTAATTGTCTGTCTCTTCTTCTCCCCCTGCCCTTCCTCTCTCTCTCTCTCTCTCTCAAGAATTTTCATAACTTTGTAGCCCAGATATTTCCCGGTCTACCACCAACAGAAGCTGTGAATGCAGTAGAAGTCATTTCTGTCAACAAAAAGAAGAAAGTATGGGATTATAATTATGACGATGACAGTGACAGTGACCATGAAGTAGCTCTCAGAACTAGCGCCGGTGGTTACACTATGCACGGACTGACCAGCAGGCTTCTGAGCCAGGTCTCCGCTGCCTCCCAGGAGCCTGAGATGGAAGGCTCCGAAGCTGAGGAATCTGATCCTTACGAGGCTGAGCCTGAGCCCCACCCCGGGCCCCCTACGGTGCCAAAGCCCAGCCCCTGCCACACAAGTGGTCCCTATGAGAGGAGAGAGAGCTTGAGCCAGGACTCTTTTCCTGAGGACAACTGCAGCTCCCCTGGAGGGTCCGGGGACAGAATTACCTTTAATGTGAATTTAAACTCTGTGTTTATGAGAGCTCCTGATGACGATGACTCAGAAGAATCCCCTTTGGTGTCATCTCTTCCAGAAGAGATCATCAGCTTAGAAGAGGATCCTGACCAAATGAAATCCTGTCTTCTGGTGGCCAGTGGGGAAAGGTCACAGTTGCTCGACCTTAGCCCCTTTTCCCAGTGCCTGTGGACTGAGGAAGATACTCCATCTGATAGAAGTGATACTTCTGATTTTGATGTTGACTCTGGAAGGGACGGTTATATCATGAGATGATTCTGAATATAGCTCATTAACTTGAACTAAGAAGTCCACATAGGGTTCTCGCCCTGTACACGGACTTGTTGCCTTATGAGCCACAGGTGGTCTGTGAGGAAAGGAGTACAAGGAGTACAGAACTGTAGGGGCTGGCCAGTTCTTCCTGATGACATAATCTGTGAGCATTCCCGGTATGGGAATATACTGTATCATCGAGCACACTGTTTACAAGTCCAAGTGATACATTTTGAAGACGCATGCTCTGCCTTCTCCCTTTATTCTAATATACTTCTTAGGAATCTCATCTTGGTTCCCAATAAGCAAGATTCCCTGTGTTCTTCAGGGTGATCTTGTCCCTCTGGCCCTGTAATGTTTCTGGGAAACAACTGAATTGCCAGGATGGGAGAAGCGAGAAAGAAGGGAAAATCCTAGCAGGAGCTATGAGTAGTGTGAGCAGGTAGAGACCCTGAGCCCAGGAAGCTCAAGGAATGAGCAATAAACCAGGCTGAAGGGATGGGTTGGAGCAGGATTAGCTGGAGAGAAAGGATGCAGATGCATAAGGAAACAAGGGAAGGGCCAGCAATTTCAGTCAGTGGTCCCTGGGCACCTCTCAGATGTCATATTGTCACCACCAAGCTGAGAACTCCACTCAGGTGCTCATGCAGCCCTTCCCGGCTTTAAGAGTGAAATACAGATATGCACATTAATAACTGTAGTATCAGGCAGGACACATTGCATGAGGGAGAGGGATAAAAATCTCAGTGTCCCATTTTAAGATCTAAAAAAAGAACAAAATCAAAAATGCTTCAAGGTCTTTGGAAGAAAGGTGGCCTACAAGTCTAAGAGATCCTGTTTGTCAAATTTTAAAGTGCTATGTGCTGATTGCAAATATCCTCAATGGGACCAGTTACTGTAAATGGGGCAAGGGAGGGGGGTGAAATCCTAGAAGTCATGTAGCAAACAGTATTAAGCACTGAGAGTCAGAGTCGGAGTTCTAACTGCTCAAATTTCGCTGTATGACCCTGGGCATTTTACTTGGCCTCTCTGAGTCTCAACTTCTTTTATTTTTTAAACAAAATTTCTAAAAAATTTATTTTTTAGGGTGACTATGTAATCTCTAAGACCCTTTGAATCTAGAAGAAGTATTTAAAAACACACAGGAATAATAAATAAATACAGAAGTTCCACGACCCTACCAGGCTCCCAGGAAGGATGAAAGGTTGAGGATCTTCCCATCTCACTCCCCTTACCCCAAGAGCAGGTTTCTCAGACCCATTTCCTGGGCCTATTCAAAAGGGGAAAAGCAAAAGTCATGCAGGTCGTGGCTCAAGGATTTTTAATAGGTAACTTATGTAATTGCTGTAAAGTAACCCAAGAAGGAAACCCTTATTTAAGAATCTAATGAAATCCCTTAGGAAAGAGACCTTGTCCTACACAAAAGCCACCACTTTGCCTTCTGAACGTATGTATCGAATTTTGAAAGATTTCACATTGCTCTTTTGATATGACCTCTCTATGGTGCTAGTTTGTCGCCCCTGGCGCTTATTTTTAAAGTTTTGTATAACGGTTGGGTGTTTGGTAAAGGGTAATAATACAAGAATACTTTTTCGTACAAACTTGATGTGGGCCTCAGAATTTTTTCTCATCCAAGAGTGTATTTGTGCCGCAGATTTTTGCTTCTGCTGGCATCCCGGAATTGCACCAGCTCCCTCTACAGCGACAACGGCCCCTGGCCTCCGGGCACGCGCTGGGGTCAGGCGAAGCCCTAGGTTGCCCAACACTTCCGCCCGCTGGTTTCTAACCTCACCCACCCTTGAGCAAGTCCCCAAAGAGGAAGTTAAAGCTCTCCTCAGCAGTCTTGTGACGAACTAGCATCTGGGAAACGAATGGCGTGTTGGCGTGTTCCTCCCGGGGAGCCCTGGAGAAGGCTGGGGTCTGCTCACCGAGCGCTTTCTAGAGGACGCGGCGTTCCCGTGGGAAGAACCGGGGGAACACAGAACTGCACAGAGCCAGCAGCCAAGCCCCAAACCCGGGGTACCTGGTGGCGTGGCAGCGCCCTCTCCAGGCCGAGGCCGCCTCGCGCTCCTGCTCGCCGAGGCCCCGTCCCCGACCGCCGCTTCTCCAGCGGCGCGGGCCGGCCCGGGGGCGGGGTCGTGGCGGGGCGGAGCGCTGAGGCCGCTCCACGGGGGTTCCCGGAAGCGCGCGCTGGGTGGTGGCCGCCGCGAGTGTCTCTCGCTCCCTTGGCGTCCCCGGCGCCCTCGCCCGCCCCCGGCGCGGCCATGGCGCGGAGCCTCGCCTGCTGGCTGGGCGGCTGCCTGCTGGTGTCAGGTGAGGGGTCTGCGGGAAGGGGCAGGGGGACCGCCGCGGGCGGAGGCGCCAGGGAACCGCGAGGCCCGGCGAGATGCTTTGCTACGCACGCGGGGTGGCGATCCCCCAGGCGGCGACCCCAGATCGCAGCCGGTGGGTGCCCGTAAAGGGACCCAGTGCCGTGACCGGTCGCCGCACCAAGCTGCTGCGGCCGCCGCCCTGGATCCTGAAGCTGGGGAGGAGCCCCACCCACACCCGGCCCGCACCGTCCAGCCGGCGATCTCAAGGGGCGCTCCCCGCGTGCTGTGTTCGCGCTTGCTGTAGTTCCCGCCGGCGCGTCCTAACCAAGCGGCCTCCAGAGAGGCACAGAGCCTCCCCCGGCGGCTGTCTCAGACCCTCCTGGAGTCTGGAGGCGGCCCCTCCACGAGGCCCATTACACATCCTCCTCCTTCTGCCCGATCACCAGCAGACCTGCTAGCAGAAGGGTCCACATCACCTTCCCCTTAAGCACTCGGCCCTGCGCCTTGAAATCTGAATTCTGCCGCCCAGTGTTCCGCTGTGGGGCTTTTGCGAGCTAAATCCAGTGAAACCTTCTCTGCCCTCCTCTACAACGAGTGCCCAGGTTCAAACAGCGCGATGGCTGACCCCTTCCTTCTTTGGGATGAACTCTGTGCTGGCCTTTGAAGCCCACACTCTCCAGTTTCTTCCATACCTCTCAGGATGGTTCTACTTGGGATCCTCTGCCTGATCTCTCTGTAGTTGAGTTCATGACCAAGCCTTCTCTCCCGCCCCTAAGTTTCAACAGACCAGTGGCATTAAATAATAGACCTGTGACTCTCACCTTTGTGTCTATTGGTACTAGTCGGGTGATAGGTGTGTTTATTATGCTCTCCTCTCTGCTTGTGTGTATGTCTAGAAAATTCTATTTAAAAGTTTAAAAATAATTTCTGCCTCTACCTCACATCCGCCCTCCCTGTGAGGGCCAAGCTGGCTTATCCAGCTGTTTACCTGACCTCCCCCCTTGAATCTTTTTTCAGCCTCTCCCATTTCAGAACTGAAATGGTTCCCTGCCCAGGCTCCAATCAGGGCACCAGATGCATAAGCCAGAAATGGACATTCATTTCAGTTCACCACATCAGAAAGTCTAGAGTTTATACCTCTGGAAATAGATCTGAAATCCACCTGCTGAGCCCTAACTCTCACACCTTTCTTCTAATGCAGGTCACCATCATCTGTCCCCACTTCATTTTTGCTTCCTACCTACCCCCACCCCAAAATTTCTTCTTAAACTAAAACTAAGAAGATTTTAGTTCTTCAAATATAATCTAGTCTCCTCAGCACAATTAACACACCCTCCCTCTCTCCCTCACCTACATGTCATTTGAAGACACAGAGCCCTAGGGGAGACCAAGGTGTTGAATGTGTCATTTTGGGGACAATATTTTTTAATGAAAAAAAAAAGTTATATATATATTTTTTCCTTTGTTTTTACAGCATCGGGGCTGGTGCCACCTCCTGAAAATGTCAGAATGAAGTCAGTTAATTTCAAGAACATTCTACAGTGGACGTCGCCTGTTTTTCATAAAGGGAATCTGACTTTCACAACTCAATACCAAAGGTGGGTCTGGTGGCTCTTGGCAGGAAGGTGCCAGAACATGGTGGCCTTGGGCCAGGCCATAGAGGGAGGGAACCTAACTGTCACCCATGACAGCTAAGATGAGCCTCCCTGCTGACCTTTCTCTTTCCATCTAGGGAATTCCTGTGGCCAGCTTTTCCTTTTTATGATTCCCTCTTGGACTGTTTATTACAGGGCTGGTTGTAGATCTGGACGTGTTATCATGGGTGTAGATGTAGTCAGCCACAGTGGTAGTCTCACGGTGACTCAGTGCTATGCCAAAACTATCTCATCACCACTGATGTATTTTAAGAGGAAAATGCTACTGCTGTCATCTCCAGTTATTAGAGTAATATTGATACAAGTCAGTGTCCAAATAGAAGCTGACTATCTGAGAAACCAAGGTATGCAAAGCAGGCAGGAAGACCCCTGCTCCCACACCATCCACCGCCTCCCGTGGATTAGAGCAGCCCACCCCAGTGCCAAGCAGTGCAGTTGACTTGCCCAGTGGACTGTCAAAAACTCCATTGTCTGACAACAGCAGAGACTCTGGACAACAGCAGAGACAACTGTCACCCCTGACAATTATCTCAGGAGTGCTCTGAACACCCTCTACCTGTTCTGCTCGGTCACATTTCCCTGATAAAAGATAAAGAAGTCCATACCACCTCTCCCTTGGCAGCCTGTCACCATCTGCCACAGGTTGGACTGTAGGTGACACACCTTCACACCAGGTACAAATAGCAACAGGAGGCCCAAGGCCAATGAGTGACGTGCCTATGGCTCAGAGGAGGATAGACCAGCCCTTCAGTGAGGCAGGAGGAGATTCCCTTCAGTCCTGTTAATCCCATCCCCCACCCCACCCAGCTGTCATTTAATCAACACACCCAAGGCCCGTGAAGTCCTAGAATCCAAGTAGGAAAAAAAAAGATAATCTTTATCTACAAGTTGAGTTTTTGTTTTGTTTCTAGTTTAAAATAATTTCACACAACAAAAAATTCCAAAATTTCAAGTATAATACTAAGAACTTTAGATGGCCTACATCCAAATTTACCAGCTTTAAAATTTGCCACATTTCCTCTCCCTCCTTCCTATTTATCTCTTACACAGAATGCCCTTTGCCCCTTAGTATTTCAATGTATGTGTCATAAGAACAAGGATAATCTTTTATATCCCACAGTATAGTTATCAAATTCAGGAACGTCAACATGGCACAAAGCTTTCATCCAGTCTACAGTATAGAGTCCAAGGATTGAAGGAAGGTCATTCCACAACTTTTTTTTCCTGAGGTATATTCTTAGTACTAAGTCCTAGGACTCATATTTTTCTCCACTCAGTCTGGAAATCCTTAGAGATTTCACTGTGGAAAATTAACTATCCTCTTTTATCAGTCTGTTTTTTATTACCACTATGAAATACCTGAGGCTGGGAGCTTTATAAAGAAAATTTTTCCTCATAGTTTTGAAGGTCTAAGGCCAAAGTTTATATCTGGCCTTCTTGCTGGCAGGGTCCCAAGGCAGCAGTGACAGGGAGCAACACATGAGAATACTGGTCTCTCTCTTATAAAGCCACTAGTCTTCAATCATGGGACCTCTGCCCCTATGACTTTATCTAAACCTAATCACCTCCCAGTGGCCCTCTGAACACATAGTCAATTAAGTGTCCACCCAGTCAATACCTCACAGTGGGGAAACACCGACGTGTGTTTTAGAGGGAATAAACCATAGCACCTCTCTTTCTGTCTCTCTTCCCTGTGGTTTATTTTGGTGGGTCTGTGCTTTGCTGTTTTGCCATTGTCTTTTGGACAGAGGTCTCAGTGACTTTGTGAAGGTATGGGAGAGGTCATTCACCAAGTCAGCACCTGGGCTCCAGCTGTCCTCCTCAGGAAACCACAGACAGAACATGGCATGTGCTAGGGCAAATAAACACATGCTGGCCACGTCCTTGGGGAAGAGGTTGGTCCCAGGAGATCTGATTCCTCTTACTTGGCTTCACAGAAGTCTTGCTTAGATTTAACCTGAACAGTTGCACAACAGGAGCTCTCTGTTGTGCGTCTGTTGTCAGGCTGGCCAGGATGGGGCTCTCTAGAAGATAGATTGGTGGTTACAATATGGAAACATCCAAAACTTAGATGTAAGTATGGGGAAGGGGTCATATTACCTATTGAAAGGGGAAAGAGTTATTTGTGAAAGCAATTAAAATAACCTAGAAGTTATTGCAAAACAACTTTTGAAATGCTGTCAGCCAACTGATACATCAGTTTAAATTAAGGAAATGGCCAAATGTGAGAAAGTCCCTTAATGACATGACCCCTGGATTTTCCAGATAATAGGATATAAGACAGCCATGAAGAGTTGATTAATTGACTCATTGTCTGGGGCGTATTAAGTGGGAAAAGTAAATTATAAAATAGTATGATCACAATTGTCTCTACCTACTTTTTGCAAGGGATTGTTCTAAACATCACCAAGAATGCAGTGAGATGTGGTCTCCAAGACTCTAAAGTGAAACACAACTGAATGTAGTTGGACAGGTTTCCTAGGCTCTGCATACCTGACCCCTAAGCTGATGAATGTTGCTATTATTATCAGCATCACCATCATTGTTACTTCTGAGGACAGCCAAAGTGGTTTTGACATTTAGACAGGAAGATACAATGGAAAACTAGTCAGACTTCTCACAGGAAGGGAGGCTGTGTGTCCATGGGTTAGATGGTGCCAATTACCCTCCTCAGGCTCTCCTGAGGTTAAGTTGTGGGAGGTGGAATTTGCTTAGCATCCCGGTGTTTCCAAATGTCATCTCTTCTTCCACATGATGTTTTTCCACTCTGTCTTCAGTGGTTGCTGTTGGGGCTATTGTCCTGACTGAAATTCATATTTGTTTTATAGTTTTTCTAGAATAAACAGTGTGAACCATTTCTAGGACATTATTTGAAATCAGCATAATATACTTACTTAATCTGTGTGTATCAAAATCTCACAAGTCATGCCTCACTGCTTTAAGATACACACAACCAAGGAAGGAAGGAGGCTTTCTTGGTCAAATATTTTGAATACTCAACCCCTTTCTGGAAAGACACATGCTTATTAGGATGTAAGGTCTCTGGGAGATTCTAATATGAAAACATCTAATTTTATGTTTAATGCAATTTCCCCCAAAATTATTTGTCCATGAGATAGATTATCTTTGAAATGCCTTATGATGACCCAAGGATCATTAACTGTATCCCACGGAGCACAGTTTGGAAAGTGCTAATGTAAATCATGCATGTAATTCATCAAGATCGATGATTAAGAATTGCTTTATTTTCTCTCCTTGTCCCCAGTTAGTCTTTGGTAGCAGAAAGAATAAAGCACCAGTCAGCCTGAAAGAAGCTGAAGTTCGAGCTCTCATGATTTTATCTTTCTAATTGTGTAGTTATAGGAAATTCCAAGATAAATGCAAGAGCATTACCTCGACCCAATGCGACTTCTCAAATCTTTCCAAGTATGGCGACCACATCTTGAGAGTCAGGTCTGAATTTGCAGATGAATATTCAGACTGGGTGAACATCTCCTTCTGCCCTGTGGATGACAGTAAGCCATTCTGATTTCCATTCTGTTGGGTGTCATCGCTTGCCTTGGTTTTGTTCCACCTGGGTTGTCTATCAACAAGAATTCTTGGAGTGTGCGGGAAGTGGATAGCTCTGCACAAGGAGCTTGAGGAATATAACAAAGAAGGCCGCGGCCTTAAAGAAGCACAGAGGCACAACAGGAAAGGATGAAATGAAATAATTAAATATAAATTTGAAACTTCAGTGCCTTCATGGCATTGGGGCCAGCACTATTAATGAGAAGGATTCAGATGACAGTTTTCTGAATGGGAGTCAGTTTTGAATTATGATCTCAACAAAAGTATGACATGAAAGGCAGAAGAGTATAGACAGGTGTGGGGACAGAAAGGCCATAGGCAGACAGGCAGCTTGCTCAGAGGAAGGACAGAAGGGGAGAGAGCTGATGTCGAGTGGGCTGGGATCAGGCTGCTGGTAAGAAAGCTCTAGGGCACACCCAGAGGGCCATGAGGACCCACCACAAGCACAGTTAGAGTATCAGGAACTGAAAACCAATTAAACTACCATGTAGCAATTAAGGCAGTAAAGACAATTCAGGGTTTCAAGACACTCACATACCCGCTATTTTAGTTAGCTCTTTTGCCACTGTGACCAAGAGACCTGACAAGAACCACATACAGGAGGAGAAGTTTATTTGGGGTTCACAGTTTCAGAGGTCTCAGTCCGTAGATGGCCAACTCTATAGCTTGGGGCTCAAGGTGAGGCAGAACGTCATGGCATAAGGGTGTGGTAGAGAAAATCAGCTCAGGACATGTCCCCCAGGAAGCAGAGAGGAGAGAGCTCTGCTCACCGGGGACAAAATGTAACCCCAAAGACACACCTCCAGTGACCTCTCCTCCAGCCACAACCTACCTGCCTATAGTTACTGTCCAGTTAATCCATATCAGTGCCTTAATGCACTGATTTTATTAAAAGTTCTCATAACCCAATCATATCACCTCTAAATTTTCTTGCATTATCTCACACATAAGCTTTTGGGGTACACATCTTATCTAAACCATAACAAGCCCTCTAAGAAGCAGTCAGAGAGAAGAATTGAGAGAATTATCTTTATGCAGGGAAAGGTCTTTGTATGCGTCTCCTGCCCTGGACCCTTGTGTTTCTCCCTCGTAGACTATGGGGCCAGGATGTCCTTCTCTTTCCCAAATTCTGTCCCAGCTTGGGCAGACTTTTATTTTTGGAATCCAAAATTATTAAAGTTATATTATCTTTTCTAAGATTTTCTTTATAAAAACAAATAAAAAATGAATACAAAAAGTCCAGTTTAACAATAGTCACGTCTTCAAAACTCAGTGTAGTGTTCCTTGACTTAGTGGAGTCCCATTTCTGTAACTCAGTCATAACCTGAAAATATCATAAATCAAAATGCATTTAAGACCCAAAACCTTTCAAACATCCTAGCTGAGCAGCACAGCCCAGAATAGAGTACCGGTTGTCTCCCCTGATACTGTGTGACTGACGGAGCTGCAGGTCACCACTGGCCAGCATTGCAAGAGAGGATTGGGCTACATATCGACAGCCTGGGGAAAGAGCATGATTCAAAATCCCAGGTTTCTATCAATGCAGCTCACTTTCACAACTTCATAAAGTCCAAAACATCATAAGTGAAGCCTTCATAAGTTTAAGACCATCTATTTAGGTTTGTGTTCCTATAATTGCCAGTTGATTCTGACTGGTTCCAAATCCTATTTTAGGTCCCATCTGTGGAAGTTCCCTTTAAAAACAGGCTAAGCAGCTTGTCAAAAGGTCACACAGATGATAAGTGGCAGAGCAAGGATTCAGACCCAAGCCCCTATGCCCATGCTCTTAGCAGCTCTGGCCCTATGTGGGATATTCACCTCCTGAAGTATTCTAGCAATAAGAAAGTGCTTTGTGACATCATGGGGAATCTGTTATATTGGCTTTGAGAAAGTATCTAACAAATTTTCTTGTCTGGTTTTCAGACCAGCAGATTACAATGGTAGAAGTAGGCTCCTTAGCAGCCCCCAGAAAGTAACAGTGGCCAGAAAAGAATACAGGACATAGGTCAACACAGTGCAGTTTCCCAGAGCCACGAGCTGTTCCCTCTGATTGTTATCAAGCACCTACTATGTGCCAGGCCATGCTCAGCATTGAAATTCCAGTAGCAAACAAGGCAAAAAAAAAAAAAAACCTGTTCTCATGGAACATAGATTCTAATGGGAAAACTGATCTAGTAAAAGATAGGTTAGATCTAGAAAAAGACAGGTTAGAAAAATTCACGTGGTAATTATATATGTTAAGCATGTTAGGGTTGCCACTGAAAATAATAGAAGTACTATCTGTAGGTTCCAGCCCAGAAAAGGAAAGAAAATTTGAGCTATCAGAAGAAGGAAAAAAGAGGAGGAGGAAAAACAAAATAAAATACGATGTTTTTAAAAGCAGTCCTTACAGGTAACACAAGATAATGGATTTGGAATAATTCTAAAAATATTAGAAATTATAATAGACATAAATGAACTAAAGTGATTAATAAAGATTATCAGATTTTGTTTTTATAGTGTTGGGGGTTGAACCCAGGGTGACTTACATTGAGCTGTATCCCCAGCCCATTTTTGATTGTTTGTTTGGTTCAGGGATTAAAGCCAGAGGCATTTAACCACTGAGCCACATCCCTAGCCCTTTCTTTTATTTTGAGACAGGGTCTTGCTAAGTTGCTGAAGCTGGTCTTGAACTTGTGATCCTCCTGCTTTAGCCTTCTGAATAGTTGGCATTAGAAGCATGAATCAGATTTTTATTTTAAAGAAACAAACTCCACCTATCACCCTTTACCCCCTCATTTATAGCAAGGTCTATCAAAGAACAGTGTACTTAAATAGACTAATTGTCCTGCACAGTTATAAAAAAATTACTGTTGCAGTAATGTTTTAAAAATGTGACTTTTATTATTTATCATTTTGATTTGTTCTTATACTTAGCCATTATTGGACCTCCTGCAGTGCAAGTAGAAGCACTTGCTGATTCTTTACACATGCAATTCTTAGCTCCCCAAATTGAGAATGAACCAGAAACATGGACCATGAAGAACTTTTATTCCTCATGGACTTACAATGTGCACTATTGGAAAAATGGAACTGATAAGAAGGTAAACTTGGCTAATCACATGCACTTCAATGTGGGCACCCATGTTCTCTGTTGAGTTTTGACCTGATGAAAGAAGGCAGGAGTCCACCCAGGCAGGGCCTTGCAAGGTGGCAGCATCCATGGTCCAGAGGATCTAAGGCTGGTCCTCTAAGAGCCAGAGCTTCCCAGGTGAAGCACGACTGTACCTTGGGCTCAAACTTCCCAGAAAGCAAGTTTTAGGGTGAAGTCTGCATGATGAGAATAGACCCTTTTCCCAGGAAGGGAAGTTGCAGGAGAGAGCAGGGCTGAGTCAGCAATTGGTGGGGGAAGTTGGAGTCCACTGAATCAGGTGACCAGCTGAATGATTGCTGAGTCATGGCGTCAACACCCCATGCCCCAGATCAGTCACCTATCAAATATGTCAAGTCTGTAGTCAAGGCACCCCCTACCCCAGGACGCTACATTCACCTTTTTTTTTTTTTTTTTGTAGGGGGGTAGGGGTACCAGGTATTGAACTCAGGGGCACTCAACCACTGAGCCACCTCCTCAGCCCTGTTTTGTATTTTATTTAGAGACAGGGTCTCACTGAGTTGCTTAGTGCCTCACCATTGCTGAGGCCACCTTTGAACTCATGATCCTCCTGTCTCAGCCTCTGCTGGGACTACTGTTATGCGCTACCATTCCAGGCCACCATTCGCCTTCTTTACCACAGTTTTCGCTGTTGCTCTCCTCTTTAGGGAACATCTCCTTTAAAAACTTGGCTTTGGAACTTGAAAGCAAAATGAAAGAAAAAGAAATGGAAACAGACCTCAGTGGATCAGCGATGCTCTATTAAGCACCTGAGGGGCACGTTTTCAAAAGAGATAATGGCAGCTGGTTACGATAGGGGTCTGAGTTTTGTAGGGTTTAGTTAGACTGAATCACAGCGGAATGTTGGGCAGTCAGGGGGACAGTCGTGAAAGTCCGGGGTCCATTGTTTTCCTTCTCTCCCTGGGACTCACTGTTCTTTTTTTTTTTTTTTCTCCCTGGGTTTATTACTATTTTTTTTCTTAAAGACATTTTAGTTGTAGATGGACCCAATACCTTCATTTTATTTATTTATTTTTATGTGGTGCTGAGGCTTGAACCCAGTGCCTCACACATGCCAGGCAAGCGCTCTGCAACTGAGCCACACCACAGCCCCCTGGGGTTATTATTTTCTATATCATTCAGATCCGAAAGACCTGATGGGAGTATTCCCCTGCCACCATGTGGCTCAGGTAACATGAATGTCTTCAGCTTCCTCAGATCTTCAAAACGGTTATAATAACCCACTTCATCCATAAAACAGGGTAATAATTCACTTCATAGGATTGTTGGAGAGTTTTAATCACAAAATGAAAAACATGTCCCATTTCCTGGAACAGTGTATGTGATCACTACATGAGGTCCCCTTCCCTTTATGTAGACCTATTAAGGCCTTTTGTGTTCATCCTTGGGCAGACTTAGTTTGCCAGTTCAGACCTACTGAACTGAATACCATTCATAGTCCTAAACTGACTTACATATATGTTATATAGGATATATTTCATTAAATGTTGCTCATATCACTTACTTCTCAAAAAATTGGGAGGAAGAGATCACCCATGTTTATCGTCTTAATTAAATACACACATTCACACACATACTAAACAACAACAATAAAAGTTAATCCCCCCACAATTCCTCATCATGATGCAGTACCTTAATCTGTTCCTGCTGCTATAACAGAATAGCACAGAGTGTGTAAAATATAAACAGTATAAATTATTTCTCACAATACTGGAGATATATGCTGGAGTCTGAAAAGGCCAAGATGGAGACACTGGAAGATTCAGGGTCTGGTGAGGGCTGTTCTCTCTGCTCCCAAGATGAGGTCTTGTTGCAGCATCTTAACTAGCCCAAGATGAAAGTCAAAGGGGGTGCAGAGCCCCTGATTCCTCTTTCACAAGCTTACTAATCCCATTCACGAGGGCTCACTTGTGACCTTGTAAAGCCTCCACCTCTTAATACTGTCATATTGGTGATTTAGCTTCAGGGTAGGAATAGCAGGGGGACACATACATTCAAACCCTGGCATGTGGGGCATCTGCTTCCTCATAGAAGAGCTGATTTGGTTATAGTCAAGACTCCAGGAAATGTGCCTGGAAAGCAACACAGAATATTTGGTTTTACACCCACTCATCCAATGCAGGTGTCTCTGCTAACCCCTGAGACTCAAAGAGAAGACCCAGAACCCGCTCCGGGGTGAGAAGCCTCCTCTAAGGATCTGGCTCTGTACTCACCCCACTGTAGCTAAGTGCCTGCAACACTAAACTAAGCATGAAATGCAAATCCCATTTTATATTTAGCTTCTTATATTTATTCTTTTATATTAAGCTTCTAGAACACACCACCAGCAACGGCACAGGCATCTCGTTACACATTTGTCCTCTCACTTTGCCGGATTGTGTGGAAGGAAGGGTTGTGTTGCTGGAAAGGCCGCTGGTTCCCCAGTTGCTCCCTCCCAGGGGCCTAAATGTCATCATTACCCACGTATATGGTTCCCTTCTAGAACGCAAACGTTTCAAGACAGTCAGATTAGTTCCCTACACTAATAACACTTTTAGAAATTCCACATATGCTTGCCACTTATGGTCTGAGTTTTAGTCTTTTTTCAAAAACTGCATTGTAAGGCTTCAGAGGCACTGGACTTCTAGAAATGAAAGCCAGGAGTTTTTTAGGTGTGGTTTGGTTTGCTTTGTTTGTTTTTTAAATTAACTTCATAGAAACTCTGTCATTCTCTTCATATATTCAACAGTATAGTCAAATCTTGCCCTCAGAGAGTTTGATTTTTTATACAGTAATCAAGCTGTCACCAATCCAGGTGCCAAAGTTTAAAAAAAAAGGAGTCTGCACTCGCTCTGTAGGCTCTTTTAATGCCCTTTATTTTTTTAGGAACTACTTCAGTTTCTCAAATTGAGAAATAGCTCATTAATTATGATATATTGCATTCAGCTTCAACTGAGATGAGTCAGTAACTCCAGCTGCCAGGGAAGAACAGGCTGTGGAATGCTCCCTGAGCAAGCCAGGGCCTCTGGAGAACCCCACGCAGCCAAGATCAGAACCCCACGCAGCCAAGATCAGAAACATGCTCTGTATTAGTAGCTAGTGCTGCTGTCACAGAATGCCAACAGTTAGGTAGCTTCAACCACAGGAATTTATTGTCTGCTGAAAATCTAAGACCAAGGTGTCCACAAGGCCGTGCTCCATCTGAAGCTGCGGGGATTTGTCCCACTCCTCTGTCCAGTTGAATTAGAGACCCACCTCATAACCTCAATTTAACTTGGTGACCTCTGTAAAGGCCCTACCTCCCTATAAGGTCACATCATAGGTACCAGGGGTTAGGACTTCAACCTATGAATTTTTTTTTTTTAGTTTTCGGTGGACACAACATCTTTATTTTATTTTTATGTGGTGCTGAGGATTGAACCCAGCGCCCCACGCATGCCAGGCGAGTGCGTTACCGCTTGAGCCACATCCCCAGCCCAAGAATTTTTAAGGGACACAGTTCAACCCATTAAAACTGGTTTATCTTTGGGGAAGGGGCAGTTTGCATATCATTTAGGGTAGAGAATTTGGGAAACAAGATGGTTTGTCAGGGTTGGGGCTGTAGCTCAGTGGTAGAGCGCTTGCCTAGGATGTGTGAGGCATTAGGTTTGATCCCCAGAACCACATAAAAATAAATGAATAAATAAAGTTTTTTTAGTTGTGACCATCTTCAACTAAAAAATATATATATATTTAAAAAAAGAAAAGAAAAGATGGTTTGTCAGCATCACAGTCCGTCTTGCTGCATCCCTTAGAATAGTGTGGAGTCCCTGAAATGAGCTGGGAGGAGCGAGCACCTGCCATTGTTCTTTACTGTTTTAAGTCTGAAGCAGTAATCACAGCTTGTTAAGTGTGAGAAAAAAAAAAGAGAAGAAAAAATAATGGTCTCCCTTCACTGTTAAGGTGTGTTCTTGTTTCATCCCCATTACCAGTTTCAAACTACTCTTCAGTATGACTTTGGGGTCCTCAGAAACCTGGAGCCCTGGACAATTTACTGCATTCAAGTTCAAGCATTTCTTCTTGTTCGGAACAAAACTGGGGAATGGAGTGAGCCTGTGTGTGAGCGAACAATGGAGGGTGAGTGAGACGCACAGTGTGTGCTTCAGCCTCTGCGGCATTTTAAAAGAATTACACACACCACACACAATCCTCAGGCATCATCACAATCTGCTCAGACTCCTGCTCAGGAATTAGCATCCCCTCCTCTGAAGGTCAGCTTCATGCTGAGAAGGAGATGCCCGCTTCTGAGACTGCTCGTTCACTTAGCCCAAGGCATTGACGGCAGGGTGGTCCATTGGGCAGCTGAAGTTGGCCCCACAAGCCCGTCTTCGCCTTGCTTGACTGCGCTCTCCAGCTCCCCAGAGCAAGACCATTCTCCCCAGACCACCCTGCAGAGCTGGAGCTTTGCCACACCCCCATGCGCCCTGGAAGTCTCCTTCCCAGGGCATACACCAGTCCTGCAGATGCACGAGGACTGGCAGGGAGGGTTTGGGAACCTCATCACTGTCCTCAGCTGGTGCTGCTAGTATAGCCCCTTGTCGATTATGAGATAGGCCCTCACCTCCATCCTTCACATATGATGGGGACCACTGTCCAGCCCAGTGCCTGCACACTTGGTGTTTCTTAAAAGAGCAGACGGGGGCAGGTGAAGGGGAGAGAGGAGCAGGTGCCTGGGTGCTGGTGCTTTATGTGCACCATGTGGCGGTTGAGCTTCGTGGGGATCACTGTCGCCCGCATGTCTGCATAGCAGAGCAGCCTCTTTTGTTACACAGAGACACGGTCAAAGGGTTTGGGAAGCTCAGACAGTGGAAGATGGGACACATATAGGGCCATTCATGTCACAAAGCTTGGCATGAGGGGTACAATTTGATCAAAAAGAAAAATAGTTTAAATAGTTCACAACTGCAAGTGATTACTCTGACAATAGCCAAACATTTTATAAAAGAAAGAGAAAAAGGAAATGACCAAAAACGTGCTCTCGTCAAATATCATTTTAGTTTTGGGGGTTGGGTGGGTTTTTTGGTTTTGTTTTTGTTTTTCATTCTCACTTTATGTAATCTTATAATCAGTTGTGGGTTTTTTTTTTTTTAATATTTTTAGTTGTAGATGGACACGATGTCTTTATTTATTTTTATGTGGTGCTGAGGATCAAACCCAGGGCCTCACACGTGCTAGGCAAACGTGCAACCACGAGCCACAACCCCTGCCCTTACGATCAGTTTTTAATGAGAGCTTTGTAAGGATCTTTTCCCCTTTTGCAGACTAGAAAATGAAGGTTCAGAGATAACAATTAAGTTACCCAAAGCACTCAGCTGGTAAATTACATGGACAGAACAGAACACAGACCAGTCTAAGCCTGGATTGTGTCCCCTGTAATTTTCTGCCTGCATATTCATTCCAAAGGTAAAGTGAGGCATCACATCCCTATGGATAAAACAGAAAGGTGGTGTGTCCCACAGTGTGAAATAGACTGAAATTAAGGGGAATATCCTGGTAACTTGTTTTTCTGCATCCTGTATTTTCTCATAGTGAGAGAAAGGCTGAAGGGCTGCCTGCCTCCCGCCTCCCATCGCCCCCCTGTCTCCTGCACACACCTCCGCCCCCCACCTAAAGGATACCAAAAAATCTGAAAATAGGAGTTGTTCGTGCTAGCAGGCTAACTGCAAAATCTGCATATGTATGTTTCCTGCCTTTTGTCCCCACTTTGACACCTCTTCTCTCTTAAAAGCTTTGTTCCCCAGAACATTGGAAACAAAACGTTTTCTTCTGTCTTGTTTCAGAGCCTAGCCCCACCCCTGAGTGAGTGACAGTTCTAGCACATGAAGCAGGAATTGATGGGGAGCTAGTATAGAGGCCTGGACCTGGTGAGGGCGCGTGCTAGACACGCGAGGGCAGTGCCGGCAAAGATGCAAACAGAAGAGGAGGAGGGAAGGAGGCAGAAGACACAGCAGGTGCCTCCCAGCCTCTCCCCCGCACAGATGCCAGTATTTAAGGCATGTCCATTCTGAGTCACACACATGGCGCATTCCCTGGGATACCAGCAGATGCCTGCAGTTAAGGTAGCTCCAGGACCAATACACTGTCCAGAGTTCTTGGGTTTTGGGGGAGGTTTTTGTATGTGGTGCTGAGAATCGAATCCAGTGCCTCACACATTGCTAGGCAACTGCTCTACTCTGAGCCACAACCCCAGCCCCCAGAGTTCTTTGATCAACCCTGAGTGACAGTTGACATTTTCCCCACAAACAATCCTTTTCAAATGACTTGCTCTCTAATAAGCAGAGTTCGATCTCCTGGCCTCTCTTGGCACCAAATGCACTGGACTTTACTCATGAGGGTGGTACTGATAGTCAGGGGCAGGGCATAGGGAGGCCTGGCTGCCAGGGCAACTGGAGAAGGGGCCTGCTGGTGAATGAGGAGAGATGTGACCAGGAATGACCAGGTGATGTCCTGGATACTGTCCTGGAGAAGCCAAGTGTGATTCTATCTGTAAAACCAGATCTGTCTCAGTGGTGTTGCAGTAGGAGAAAGAGCCCGCTCCATTTATGCAGAGGAGATGGGACCCCTTACAGAAGAATGAGGGAGTGAAAAAATGACAAAATTCAGGTAAATGCCATTGCCATTAGACCACCTGTGTCTGTTAATTGGCATTTATCAAAGTCAGGCTCCTACTCTCCCCTGGGGACTGTCCTCTCTGGTAGCTTCAAAGGAATGGTGCTCAGTTTCTTGAAGAATATACTCCTGGGTTGTAGCAGACCGCTATATGCATAAAGGGAGAGGAAAGATTCACAGTGGCAAGCCCTTTTTAGTGAAAGCTCTCAGGAGGACAGGTCAGGGGCTCATGGTCTATGTTGGCAAGGCCACGGGGTGTGCCCTTTAAACAGGCTGGGCCTTCTGTCAGAAGCTCAAGAGGGGCTGGGTCATCCCAGGGATGCAACTCAGGCTCCCAGGAGCCGTGCTGCAGCTTGGTGGGTCTCTCAGAGGTGGAGTCATTAGTGGTGAGTTTCTGCACCATGGCTCTTTCTCCCTTGGGCTTGGCCTTGGGGGTTGGTTTGCTGCTTCAAAACCGAAGAGGTGGATCCAGAGCAGGGGGCTTATTGCCACCTAAAAGTAAGTAAATTGACCCAAATCCTTGCTTATTATTCTTATTATATGTGCTATTCGTAATCCCAGAGACCAAACTTTGAAGAAACAGGAAAGGGGTGCGACTCAGTGAGCACCTTGGGTCCTCCACCCCTCTGCTGTGTTTTCCAGGATTTCTAAGACGCTGTCTGAGATGGACAAATGGGCACTCTTTTGAGGGATTGCCATTGAATTGCAGTGGCTAATATGGCCTTCCGGTCACTGAGATCCAACCTGTACATGACAAGAGTTTAACCCACCCTGTTGTCCCTGGCAGAAACAAAGTTTTCCTGGGTGGTGGCCGTCGTGCTGATAGCTTCGGTCTTCGTGGTGTTCCTGATGTTCCTCGGCTGCTCTGTCTCCCTGTGGTACATTTACAAGAAGACCAAGTACACCTTCTCCCCTGGGAATTCACTTCCACAGCACCTGAAAGAGGTAGGTAGGAGGGAGTGAGATGTGCCTTAGAAAACCCCTGCTGGAAGAGTTCTCCAAGGTCAGGGCTGCCCATTCCAAGGTCAAGGCTGCCTGTTCCAGACAGTATTTTCCTGGGGAATAGTACACATCTTGTGTGCTGGTCCATCGCCATATGCCCATTCAGAGAAACCTGAGTCCAAAGACCAGCCCTTAGGAAGAAAGCAAAGGATTGTCTCAGATGTGACCTGGATGGCGCCTTCTCTGGCCTTCACTGCCCAAAGCCCCAAGTCCTCAGGAAGCCATGCTGATGGTTGTGGGGCAGGAAAGGAAAGAGCAAAGCTCCCAGTAGAGAAGATGAGAAAGAGAACACTGTAGGCCAAGTGCCAGCGAGGAGCCGAGGGTGAGAACGGGATCAGGGAGAGGTGTGCTTTTAGTTTGGGAATATCTGAGAATGACTTCAATCTGGTTGTGCATCTGAGACTTTAGGGAGGCAATTTTCAAGATGTAGAAGAAAAAAGATTTAATCCATCTAAAGACTGTAGGACTGAAGAGGCCGTAAGAAATAAAATTCTGGATACACAATCAACCCTCTATGTCCACAGGTCCCACATCTATGGTCTCAGCCAGCTGCAGATCAGATATATCTGGGGGTGGGGGAGGGGGAATGCAACTGTACTGAACATGTACAGAGTTTTTTTTCTAGTCATTATTTTCTATATAATACAGTATAACAACTATTTACATTTATCAGGTGGTATAAATGATCTAGAGATAATTAAAGTATACAGGAGAATGTGCATAGGTTACATTCAAATACTACACAAGTTTATGTAAGGAATCCGTGGATTTTGCTATCCACAAGGGGTCCTACAGCCAATCCCCATGGATACTGAAGGGCAACTATTTACTGACACTTAAAATTGAAAAATATGCCAAGTGCAGACCCAAAAAGCACCTATCTAAGACACTAAGATAGAAATTTGCATTCAAAAGGCTCCATGGTAAATTTCCTTGGGCATGATACCTCTAAAGGAGTGAAGATGGCAGAATGGGGCACAGAGAGGTTGAGCTATCATGCATCAGCAACACAGGCCTCATCCAGTCCCCAAGGGCTCTGAGCTGGAATAGCCCTTCAGAAGTATCCCAAGCTGAGGCAAGAGAGCTGGACCTGGGAACCCCTCAGTGGCCATGTGGTAGATACAGGAAACCCCGGGGAAGGGACCTCACCTAGGACGAGGTACAAGCATCAGCACCAGTATTCCTGGCAGCTGAGAGGGCAGGCACCTCATTCCTGAAGGGAGAGCTGTATGGCCTCTCTCAGCATCCGCCACAGCCTGCCCCTTGGACCACTGGGACCTACCAGGAACAGCTCCTTCAGGATTTCTTTTCCTGGGGAAGGTTCCAAGAGCAAGTTAGTAAGACAAACCCCATCTCCCACCACTGCAGCTGGTTCCAAGACCATGAGTAATATTCATGGTCTTTTCCTTCACCATCATTCATCCTCTCCGTCCTGTGACTAGCCTCTGCTGGCCTAGCAGGACTGAGCTCTGGCCCCCAGGCCCTTCTTGGGCAGTGACTGCTCTGCCTGTCCATTTGCATCAGAACTGGGCAGGAGAGAGCCAGGAGATGCCCCAGTGACTCCATTGGGCACCCACCAGAGTGTGGCAGCAGCATTAGCCCTTCCTGGTGACCAGTGTGGCCACTCCTTTCTTTGCCTACTGGTCTTGCATGAGAAGCAGCAGCCATAGTGTCAAGTTGAATGGGCCTCATGCTGTGTTTACTGGTCAAATGCTCTTAAAGGGTTGGATAGAAAATATTTAAGGCTTTGCAGACCAAGTGGTAAAATCGAAATTACACAGGTACGTATATAACCATTTAAATGTAATCATCTAAAAATCTTGACTCATGGGCTGTACAGAAATAATCAGTGGACTAGATTTGGCTCATGGGCTGTAGACTCACAAAATCTACCCAAGTGGTGACCAGGGCCACTCCTTTATCTCTTGATTCTTGAACCCATGTGTTCTACCTCCTGAGGCCATAGGAACAAATAGCGGTTGTTGGTTCTAGGTGCGTGCCAGGTGCTGGGGGCATCTTCACAGGGTATTGTCTCCAAGCAGGCATCCCACTTTGAACAGGCCATTCTTTTATTCTTCCTGGCTGGTGCGTTGTATGATATGATTAGTGGGTACCATGGGCAAGTGCCCACTCCTGGCCCTCTTAGATATCAGGATTATTCTACTAGAACTTCCACTGAAAAGTACGGCATATTGGGTGTCTTATCCAACAGCAGTATATTGACATTTCTACAAACTGAAAGTCTGAGTTCACGGTGTGGGCAGGATTGGTTCCTACTGAGAGCTATGAGGAGAGTCACTCCAGGCCTTTCCCCTACTTTCTGCTGGTTGCCGACAGTCTTTGGCATTCCTTGGTGCATAGAAGCCTCACCCTACCCTCTGTCCTCACCTTCACATAGCCTTCTCCCTGGGTATGCCCATGTCCACATTTCCCCTTTTAATAAGGACATCGGTCATATTGGACCAGAGGCCTGCTGTGCTCTGGTTCGACCTTATTCTAACTTACCTAATCATTTTTTCATGACTGTTTGCAAGTAAGTTCATATTCCGAAGTACTGGAGGTTAGGACTTATATAAAATTTTATAGGGACACAGTTCAAGCTACAGTGTGTGCCAGTAGACCAAATTCTCAGTAAGACCTCCGTGGTGCCAACTGAGGCCTGTTGGACACAAAATGGCAAGTCATTTCTGAAATGACTGTCCACTTAATAAGGATCCATCACTTCCAGGGAACAAGGGATTTGATGTCATCAACTTGCCACCAGGTGGCCATTTGGTCTCCTTGCGGGTGCTGTCATCCCAGGGGCTCAGCACTGATCTCTACTACAGGAGGTTGGACATTTGGCCGCAGCTGTTGCCACGTTAGTCTTGGGGGGCAGGAGGTCTGCTCTTGGGTCCATGCAGAGCCTTCATCCGTGGCACTGTGGCTGTTCTGTTTATGAGCCCACTGGGCCACATATGGGTGACAAATGGCCGAGGCTGGCTGCCCACTGGCTGTGTCATCCTGTCTCCTTGGTTCTTCCCTTTCCATGGCACATGCTGTCAGTGGGGGTTAGTATGTGTTACAGAAATTCACACACTTCAGCTGTACACTGCCACCCACATGCCTCTTCCCCAGGGACGTGTCCTTGTCCCTGACCTTCCAGCCTTCCTTCTGCTAGGTTCCAATCTCCAGCCCAGCCATGACCTCAGCCTGTGAGTCCATGGCAAACCTGATCTTTGGTCACTTTACTTTACACATAAAGTAGATGACTGGATACATGGTCAGAGTCTCCACCTGTTGGAGGGCTTTCTGCCTGAGGGGGGAGCCCGTGCAACAGCAGGACATTTCCAGGTTGCACCCACATGCCATGCCAGCTGCCTGTGAACCAGGGTTGGCTTTTCCCTTCTTCTTCAGCTGGTCATAAGGACCTGTCCCTCATCTACTCACAGTATGAGCAGGGGCAGAGCAAGGTGCATGGGGACAGATGACATGGGAGTCTGAGCCACCTATATATGTGACTGACCTGTGCCTTCTGATCCTGTCTTAGGATCTGATGTGACTGAACAGGCCCCAAAGATAGTGTCAGTTTATGTAACAAACACAAACTTTCTAAAAAAAAAAAAAAAAAGATGATTTTAGGCCTGGAGATATAGCTTTGTTGGTACAGTGCTTGCCTCACCTGGCTCAACTCCCGGCTTCAATCCCCAAAACCACACACACAAAAAAAAAAAAAAAAAACAAGAAAGGGAGGAAGGATGGAAGGATGGATGATTCGCAAATCCAGGGAACATGAATCATGGCAAACCATGGGGACCCTTGGGCTCACCTGGAGAGGCAAAGGAAACAGGTGTTTTAAAAGGTAAATTGAAGAAAGTTACATAAGTGGTTTTGAAGTAATGATCCTTGGCTCTGAGAATCAATAACCACCTTGGTGTCAGCACAGGGTTGTGAAGGTGGTTTTTGGGCAGATGTCTGTCCTTGAAGAGATAATGTTTGCGCAAGGTTGTGGTTTGGTAGAATCTCTTGTAATAGTTCCTGCTATCAGGGAAATCATGCATGAGGGTCCCACCTACCCCATCCCCACCCCTGCTTAAGACCTTCCAATTCCATTTAGTTTGGTTTGATTTAAGTGGCTCCATTTTGGTACCTAACTTTCATAGTGGTCACTCACGGACAGCATTGTCACCTAGTATCTCATGGCCAGAGGCTCTGCATCTGCCAGGCCTCCGTACCACTCAGTGAGCTGTTTTCCAGACAGGATATCCTGATCTGCTGCAGATGACCCAGCCTGATCCCAGAACTCTAGTGTCCACATTGTGATTTTCTTCTTAGGATTGATCTGTGAACTCCACCCAAGGTCATTTTGCACCAAAGACACTTCAAGGATCTGCCAGGTCACATGTCCATCAGGTTCAGTTAGTCTGTCCTCATGGTAGAGAGTGCACCTGTCTGGAAGCAGAGGTAGAGCTGTCTGCTCTGTAGTCCACTCCTGCTGCGGGGCCCTTGCCCGCCCTGGGTCCCCCCAGACAGCAGCCCTCAGTCTCCTGATAAACACCCTGTAGCGTATCCCCATGTGCGGAATGTGCTGCTCCAGTGCCTAACGGGACCTACCAAGCTAGCTCGTTCTTCTTAGTGGCGGGAGGGGTGACATATGATGGACTGTTCATAGCCCCACTGAGCTGGGGTAGCAAGATAAGTTGCTGAGAAACCAAAGAAGATACCCAGATATAGCCAGGTGCAGTGGCGCACACCTGTAATCCCAGCGGCTGGGGGAGGCTGAGGCAGGAGGATGGCGAGTTCAAAGCCAGCCCCAGCAACAGCGAAGTGCCAAGCAACTCAGTGAGACCCTGTCTCTAAATAAAATATAAAATAGGGCTCAGTGGTTAAGTGCCCCTGAGTTCAATCCTTGGTACCCCCCCTCTCCCAAAAAAGAAGATACCCAAGATGACATGTGAGACATAAGGTTTTTTGAAAACTGTTCATGGGAGGGTCCAGTGGCGACAGGCTAGATGGATAACACCTCCATCTTTTGTGGTGCATTATCCAGTGGCAGCCAGCTGGATGAGCACATGTCCTCTCCACAGCTTGTTCTGCACCAGGTAATTCAGGGAGGGGGCTTCTAGGCTGAGCCACATGAGCAGCAGTGTCATTAGCTTGCTTTGTTCCAGCATCTAAGGAGCAGTTGTCTGGTCACGTGCTAGAAAGCAGTTTCCACAGATAACACTCTTTTCCCTAGTTTCCACTTCATGAGTCACTTCCTTCAACATAATGCTTACCTTGGCTTGGCTATGTCCCGGATGCTTCCAGGATCTGGTGTTTCAGTGTACTCCTGCTTTCAGGGATGTCACATATGGTAATTCAGTCTTGACTTGGAGAGAATGTTCCAGCATGCCCCACTCCACGGTACCCTTCCAACTTCCCTGATGTGGCAGGTCCCTGTTTCTTCATAGGGCGAGTTCGCCACCCTCTGCAGTGTGTGCCTTACCCGTGCCTTGGCACTTCTTGAACTTCTGGCCCTACTGATGCATTGTGATAGCTAACACGAAGCCTTTGTCCCCACACCAACCAGTCAGGGCTGCCCCTGGGAAGAGACGTGGTATTATGGAAGGTAACTGCCTCCTGTGAAGGGCGCTGCCCAGCGAGGGACCCGGCTGTGAGCCATTCCAGCTGTTGGCATTCCAGGAAGCTGGAGAATAAGGGGATCCACCATGAAGGGGTCTGGGTTGCACAGGGCAGCACCCTCTGTGGATAGAAAGTGGAACTCATGACTGGGGGCGAGTGTTTGAGAGCAGCTGGAACCTTCTCCACAGGATGCCTGCAAGCCCTGCAGCACTAGGAAGCATCAGGAATCCTCTAGGCGTGAGCCTTGTGAAGGCACAAGAACAAAAAAGAGGGTCAGGCCCTTTGTTCTGGGTAGAAGGTATTTTCTTGAGAACCAAAAGGAAACTATTCACCTGCTATTTTTGTTGCTTGGCTTTTCCATCAAAGAAACTGGTCAGACAGGAAAGAACAGATGGCAAATCAAAGCTGAGGCTAGTGTAATGGAGGGGGTCGTGGGAATGAGCGCTCCCCTGCGAGGCTGGCAGTTCCTGTAATATCTGAGCAACACGGAGGTTGGGGTGCTGGAGAGGGGCCCAGAAGAGTAAGGGTCAAGGAAGTTCCAAAGCACTTCAGGGCTTATCGGGGTCTCCCCAGCACCAAATTCTCCATCTTGGCTCTTATTGTATAGAATGTGTTAATCACGGCCCAGAGAATGATTTGGGGTTTAGGGAGATGAGCTGGGAGGGAGCTTTGAGTTGAGAGCAGAAAAGGTTATTCAACATTGAGCTGTTGAGCTGCCACCTGTTTCTCTGGGTCCAACCGGGAGACTCAGCCCGATATTTGCTTTTTTGAAATTTAGTGCACCTTCCCTTGGTTTCCCTTCCTCTCCCTTCCCCAGGAGAATAACGGGTAACTTCAGCAAGACTCTGACCGTGGATCCACTGGACATGAGGTTTAGGGAGCTCCCGCCTCCTCCCAGCTTTGTCCTTGCCCAGCAGGGAACTGGACACAGTTCCCCTGGCCTCCCCACTCCCTTCCTTGGGTGGAAATCGTGACAGGTCCAAACCAGCAGGCACAGCAGCTGCAGCATATCAAAAGTCTGAGCAGGACAGAACGGGCTAATGGATTAAAGGGGGGACCACGGCGTTCCATCGGGAGGGGACAGGTTACAAGTGCAAAGCTTTAAAAAATTTCTCCAATACATGTTTCTCCATGTAACTGTGAGCATTAAGGGCATAGCTCCCCTATCTGGATGAAGACTGAAGAACGTGAAATTAGCAGAGATTTCCAGAAGTATATCTGGGCATCTTCATTGTTCAAAGTGTTAGAGAGATAAGTGTGATTGGACTATGTTCCCTGTCCCTAACTGGCCCTGTCTATGAGAGAAATGACCTGTGGACAAGTCAGTGTCCATCAAATGTACTGAGACAGCACAATTTAATAGGAACATATCATAAGCCATAAGCGTGCACCACCACACTGGCCATCATAACCCTCCCCTACCCCTTTGCTAGATTTTTTAAAAGTAAAAAGAAACAGGTGAAGTAAACACTAATCACATGTTTTATATAACCTCATGTATATAAAATAGCATCATTTCAACATGTAACCAATGTATTTTTAAGTTATTAAGGTATTTACATTCTTTTTTTTTTTTTTACGTAGCCCCTACATAATAGGTTGTAATTCACACAGCACACATAGAACAATCTAGCCACACTCCAAGTGGTCAGTAGCCACTACCATCCTAGATAGTTCAGGGCTAAGGGCTGAAATCAAGGATCAGGTAGGATGGCGGGGAACGTCAAACAGGGCCTAACTCAGCCTGAGGACGTGAGAGAGACCATGTGTTCTTCCAAGACATGATCATCCAGGCCTGCAATCCTAGAGGAAATGCCAGCCAGGTTGCGTATGCCCCACAGCATCATGATTGAGCTGAAAGTCCTCCCTGTTGGACTGGGAATGTAGCTCAGTTGGTAGAGTGTATGCTTAGCATGTGCAAGGCCCGGGGTTCAATCCCCAGCACACCCACATAAAAAAGGAACTATCAGAGGGCGACCTGGGATCACTTAGCAACTGAGTTGCACATCTCATTGTTGCATCTTTTAAAATTGTGGTAAAATACACATGGCACAAAATTTCCACGTAATCTTTTTTTCTCTCTCTCTCTTATACTGGGAATTGAACCCAGGGGCTCTTTACCACGGAGCCACATCCCCAGCTCTTTTTCTTTTCCTTTTGAGACAGGATCTCACTGAGTTGCCCAGGTTAGCCTTGGGCTTGAAATCCTCCTACCTCAGCCCCTTACCCCCATCACAGTCACTGGAAGTACAGGCGTGTGCCACCACACCTGGCCCTCATAACCTCCCCCACCCCTTTTTTTTTTAAGAGTGTATTTGGGATTTTACAAAATGAGTACCAGAATTGCATACTTCCCAACAATAAAAACCCACTTTTATAAATTTTTTCAACTGATATCAAACTGATGCTCAGCAGTTCATAAAAATCAATAAAGCAAAAATAAGCATGCCTAAAAATCAGAGCAAGTAATAAAGTTTACATTAAAATTATGGGGTATCTGGGCTGGGGATATAGCTCAGTTGGTAGAGTGTTTGCCTCGCATGCATAAGTCCCTGGTTCAATCCCCAGCACCACACACACACGAAAACTACAATATATAAAGTATATACATGTCATGTAACTTTAGATTTTCTGTTGGTGGTGTATTTTTTTAATTTGTTCTAATCAGTTATACATGACAATAGAATGCATTTTGACACATCATACCTAAATGAAGTATAACTTCTCATTCTTCTGATTGTACATGTTGTAGAATCACATGGTCATGTAATCATACATGTACATAGGGTACTAATGTCTAATTCATTCTACTACCCTTCCTACCACCATACTCCCTCCCCTCCCTTCACTCCTCTCTGCCTAATGCCAAGTACTTTTATTTTTCCCTTGCCATCCCTCCTTATTATGAATTAATATCTGCAGATCAGAGAAAATATTTGGCCTTTGGTTTTTTGGGATTGGCTTAGTGTGCTATTCTCTAGCTCCATCCAGTTACCTGCAAATGCCATAATTTCATTCTTCTTTAAGGCTGAGTAATATTCCATTGTGTATATATACCATCTTTTCTTTATCCATTCATCCGCTAAAAGACATCTAGGTTGGTACCATAGTTTGGCTATTGTGAATTGAACTGCTATAACATTGATGCGGCTTCATCACTGTAATATGCAGATTTTAAGTCCTTTGGGTATAAACTGATGAGTGGGATAGCTGAGTCAAATGCTGGTTCCATTCCAAGTTTTCTGAGGAAACTTTCCATAATGTACCGATTTGCAGTCCCACCAACAATGTATGAGTGTACCTTTTGCCCCACATCCTTGCCAACACTTATTGTTGCTTATATTCCTGATAATTGCCATTCTGACTGGAGTGAGGTGAAATCTTAGTTTTGATTTTCATTTCTCTTATGCAGCCATCACCACCATTCACCATTCACATTCAGAACTTTTTTCATTTTCCAAAAGTAAACTCTTTCCCCTCTCCCCCAAATCCTGGCAATAACCATTCTTCTACCTGCCTCTATAAATCCAACTCTTCCACCCTTAAATAAATGGAATTGTACAGTATTTCTCCTCTGGAGACTGGCCGGTTTCACCTAGTCTTTAGGTGTCTTTAGGGTTTATCTATGTGTAGCATGTCTCAGAACTTCCTCTTTTTTAATGCTAACTAATATTCCATTGCAACAAATGCACCACATTTGTTGTATGTTCATCCACACGTGGACACTGGGCTTGCTTCTACCTTCAGTTGTTGTTAATAATGCTGCTGTGAACATGGGTGTACCAATATCTCTTCAACATACTGCTTTTATTTCTCTTGGAACTGTACCTAGGAATGAATTGCTAGATAATATGATAATTGTGTTTTTTATTTATAAAGGAAGCACCGTACTGTTACTGTTACATTTTTAAAATAATATTTTTCATCCCAGAAATCCTATATAAAATCTTTGTAAGGCCAGAAAAAAGAAATGGTACTGAACTGTCCTCTTTCCCCCAACAGTTTCTGGGCAACCCCCATCACAGCAAGCTTCTGTTCTTCTCTTTCCCGCTCTCGGATGAGAACGAAGTTTTTGACAAATTAAGTGTCATTTCAGAAGACTGTGAAAGCAGCAAGCAGAATCCTGGTGACAGCTGCAGCTTTGGGACTCCATCTGGGCCAGGACCCCCGGAGCTCATTTCCAAGGGGGAGACCCATTTCCAAGGAGGAGACCCGTACGGGGACTCCCCACTTCTCTCATCTGCCTCAGAGGGTGATCAGAGTGACTGCCTGAGGAAACCCCAAATCTAGAACTCCTACACGTGGACTTGTCCAAGGAGCTGAGCTTTGAAGGCTCATGTGGCAAAAATACTCCATCCTGTGAACTCACCACTCCAAAAAGACTTTAATGATTAAAAAAGAAATTGACTTAAAGAGTATAATTTTTAGCCTCTCGTACTCATCAAAACAAGGATCATGTTTTATTTGTGAGAAACAAATATTTAAAATTAGAGATGAAATGGAGATGGTATGAAATCCTACCAGAGTGCTGATCAGCTAACCTAAAAACCAACCTCAACTCAAAAGTGGTCAGCACCACACTGGACAGACATGAATTTTTTTGGATTTCAGGAAGACTTTGATATTTCTTTTTCTATTTATCTGTGTTTTATGTACTGCAGGTGCTCTGTTAAAGTTTGATTCTCTTATCTAATCTGTGTTTGTGTCAGTCAACTTCCTGTTATTATGACAAAGTACATAACATAAACAAGTTAAAAGGAGAAAAGGTTTATTTTGGCTCACGGTGTCAGAAGTTCCAGTCCATGTGTTGGTTGGCCCTGTGGCTTTGGGCCTGTGGCGGCACAGTAAGTATATCATGGTGGGCTACATGGTGGAGGAGGCTGTTCCCCTCCTTTCAGCCAAAGAGAGAAGAGCCAGGGTCCCAATATCCCCTTCAAAGACCCAAAGACCCAACTTCCTTGGATGAGGCCCTGCCTCTTAAAGGTTCTGCCACACTCCAGTAGGGCCACAGGCTGGGTTCCAGGTCTTTAGTACACAGGTCTTTGGGGACATATAAGATCCAAACTATAAAAGTGTTAATGTTTTGTATAATTGTTAGTGAATGAGGCTTCCGTTTGCCAGGTTTTTTTTTTTTAAATATTTTTTAGTTGTTGATGGATCTTTTATTTATATGTGGTGCTGAGACTCGAACCCAGCACCTCACGCATGCTAGGCAAGCACTCTACCACTGAGCCATAACCCCAGCCCTTCCATTTGCCATTTTTGACATCCATTCCTTCAGCCAGGCGTGTGCTGGGTCTGGGGAAGCTTCATGGAACAGAAGGTCCCCGGGCTTTGTCCAGCATAGACACTAGTCTGTGCCCTGTCGTTTTTCTCCTGTGTGAGGATGGGAAGGCCTAAGGATTGGCAATAACATTTAAAATGCTGTGCCAACACCCGCAGACAGTAGACAGCCGATAAATGGCAGCTCTTCCTACAGCTAGATCATCTCACAGGTGTGACCACTCTGCCAGGAACAGATGTCCCTTTTGTGCCGAATTGTCCAGTAAAGCAGATCCATCAAAGGCCCCCAAACAGAAAAAGTGTTCTTTTAGTTAATTTGACATTGGGCGGTGGGTACAGCTCAGCAATAGAGCACTTGCCTGGCAGATGCAAGGCCCTGGGCTAGGTCCCCAGCCCCACAAATAAGTGAATGAAATCATTAGACATTTAAATGTGTGTATTTACGTAGGCTCTGGTCAGATGCAGGACTTTCTTGCCCACAGAAGAGGCGGGAGCTCTGTAGGAAACGACCTCTGCACCCAGAATGACACCATAACATGGTTTGGAGCTGCCACGCTCTCAAGTGGCATTTTTCTTGTCAATTACTAGTTGCACACAGGCAGGGTCATTGTCCAAAAGAGTGGAAATGACAGTGCACACATATGTTCACACACACACACACATCTATCCAAGTAAAATCTACTACAACTTTTATAGAATGTGATTTGTACCTTCAGACAGGTGGCGTTGGAAAATCTCTAAAGCCCCTGGAGAAAACCTCCATGGTTTAAGCTGCAGTTGGTTTTGTTCCTTCTTTGGTGACAAGGGACTGCATGCTGTTTAGAGGGAGTCATAGGCGTGTTTCCAGAAAGCAGTGTAAGACCTGAGAGTCGGGATCCCAAATGGCCCAGCACTGCTTCAGACAGTCATGGTGCTCGTCAGCGAGTCAGTTTCACTTCCATGACTTCTAGGCACCAGTCCCGTCTGTCAGTTCGCCAGGCAGTTGTAAGATTCAAGGCAGTGTGATCCAAGCTGATCTGCAACCCTGAAGGTTATTAACAACACTCCACCAAGTTCCTAACTTTACATGGGAAACATTTGCATTTTTAGAAAATGTTCAGCCTACTTAAGTGAAATTTATATTGTACCAAAAATGGTTTCCCCTACGCTATTTATTTCCAAGGAGACACGGATGCACCAGGAAGAGAGAAAGGCTGAATCTTAGTGGAAATGTCGAGTTTGGCAAATGTCAGCTGGCACCTCTGCAGGGTGGCAGGCAGCCTCGTTTGGAAGGGTAATCGTGGTCTCTGTAAAGGGCACAGCAGAATCGGGGGTCACATAGGCTCTGGTGGGGTGACAGGGTTTTCTTCTTGCCCACAGAAGAGGCAGAGCTTTATAGAGACAATCTCGGTTCCCAGCGATGACACTGTACCATGGTATGAGCTGCAGGGACCCCCTCACTTTCACGTGGCATTTTTCTTTTGAATGACTATTTGAACACAGGCAGGGGGCATCGTCCAAAAGAGTGGAAATGACAGTGTACATTTACTGGAAAACCACTCCACCCGCTGGATTTACCTTCCCACAAGGAGGAAGTGAAAAGGAACCAACCCGGGAACAAGTGCCTTTCAGTGCTAAGAGCAGAAATGTCTGGTCAGGCCGGGAATCAGAAAGGCACCTAATGGCCTTCACAGACTCAGATCATCTATAACCTCATTGAAAAGGTCTTTAAACCTCACCAGCGCGTACTCCTGAGGTAGAATAGAAAAAGTATAAAAGGTAGAAAGGAGACAAGAAAAAGAAAGTCTGTCACTTGAACCTGGAAGCTTGGTGCTGAATTTCCTCATACCTTCACTCCAGTGGCCTGTTATCCTCCCAGATCTGTTACTCCCAGGTTTCTGAGAAAACTGTAGTCTAAGAGTTACTGTAAACTCACTCACGAAAACTGAGTCATGCCTGTTGATCAGCCCTTGTAATGAATAGATTAAGCACAGAGAGATACAAGACTTTCTAGCATTATCTACTGATCAGATAATGAAGGCCACGTCAGCCTAAGGATCCCAAGAGGACCAGACCCCCATCGACTGTCATGTGATCACTGGACGGATGTCCCATGCCCAAGTCTCCTTTAAAAGAAGAAATTGAAAATCCCCAAAACATCTTGCTCTTGAGGTGACTGCATCCTCCCTTGAATGTGGGTCCCTTGCTCTCCTTAAAAAAAAAAAAAAAAAAAAACTTGTCTCTGACACATTCATTTCTGTGATGTTTGTCAAGAATCCCACTGATCCTGAGTCAAAGTCCCCTTCCCCAGGAACTCTTCAGATCTCCTCGGTGACACTCCTTTTGTTGGTTTTGGGGTTTGTTTTGTTTTGTTTTGTTGTTTAACTGTTATGGTCTATTTAAAAATCTAATGCTATCTTTGTCCTTTGTCCCCTCCTCAATTTTAAATTCAAATTTACGCTTAAACAAACAGGCATTTGATTGCCAATGACCTGCGATGGAAACCCCTCTGGGCCTGCCCCTGGGTGGAGGAGAAGAGGAGAGCATCACATGTCCTTGGTCCTGGGGTGTGAGACCCTGCATCTGGGCGGCTAATCCTCCCCCCTGCTCAGACCCCTGGGGACAGCACAGCATCTAGAGTGGATGGACAAGGGCTCTTCTCCAGAGCACAAGAGGGCAGGGGTCCATTCAGGTGACAAGGGTCATCCTGGTCTGCAGGCCTGAAGGCGCTGCTTAACATGGTATGGGAGCAAATGCCAGAATCTGAGTCCTGAGGTGTTTCCAGCGCTTGGCGATGGGGGTTTGCATCTTCTCCAGGCAGATGTGCAGCATGACATTGCAATAGCTGTCCCCAACCTGGTGGCTCCAGGGAGCAAGAAGTCAGACAGTTTCCACATGGCCTCGCTGTCCACCACCCCATTTCTGTCCTGGTGGGGAGACTCCTCCACAGCCATCTGTTGCTTAGAGACCTTGAAATGAAGCATGATGACAGAGAAGGATCTGTTTGGGGGACTTCCTTGCCTTCATTTTATAGTAATGATTTAAAATTTTTTTCAGTAACATTGCTAAGGAAGAAATGACTGCATTTCTGTTTCTGATGCTGTTTCAATTTCTTCTTACTCTGACTAGGTTTAAGGATGGAAGAGAAAGTCATTCTGTCTCCCAGTTAAGCTCTTCCTCCTGGATGTTGGGTTGGTGGGAGGGCTGATGGAGGTGGCACCTCTGCAGACACATCAAGGCAGTTTCTCCAGCCCTTACAGTGAGTCTGGGAGCTCCACAAAATCACATTAAGAAACTGTTCTGTGTCTGTCTGCTAGGGATGGTTTCTTTGTTTGAAACTGAAACTCTGAGAAGACCTCAGAAAATGAGGTGTGGGGGTGAGGACATGGATTTCCCAGTCCTCAGAATCTACCCATCTAGGTGTGCAGGAATTGGGCAGGGATGAGATTCTCTCTCCCTCTTTCTACCCCTGCCCCACCATCCCCACAGTTTCCCAGTCGAGGAAGGAGACAGCACCTTTCCCCTAGAAGGGAAAAGTCCTAAAAGACCAGAGACTGGCCAGCTGGGGGCAGGTGAATGGGAGACCCACTGGAAGGGAGAGGAAAGATAAAGTGCAGGTCTTCCTGAACCAGTAGCTGGCAACAAAGCCCTCATCTCCCTAGGGAAGACCCCAGGATAGAACCAAAGGCAGCACAATGACCAAGGCCAATAACCACATTGAGAAATATACTCTTTTGTCTCTTCACTGCCACTCTGCACACACTCAGATCCATGAATAGGTGTTTGCTTAGTACTGAAAACTAGTCCTTTCATATAGTCACTATCTGTCTTAGTCCATTTTGTGTTGCTATAACAAAATACCTGAGGCTGGGAAACTTCATAGTGGAAAGAGTTTTATTAGCTCACGGTTCTGGAGATTCAGGATCATGGTGCTAATTTCTACTCAGCTCTGGTGGAGCCTTCTGGTAGATGACATCACAATACCTGGAGCACAGGCAGAAGAGAGATTTAGGTTAAGGTGCCAGGTCACTTATAGCAACTCACTCTCCTGGCAACTAATGTCATGCCACAAGACTGAACGCATTCCCAAAGTCAGTGTTAGTCCATCCAGGAGGGTGGGGCCCTTATGACCTAAATACCTCCCACTAGGTCTCACCTCACATTGGCTCCACCACCTCAACACCAGCATACCGGGGGCAAGCTGCCACGTGGGAACCTCCAAGGGACCACATCTACCCCATGGCACTATCCTAACAATCCTGCCTCGCTCTGGGCCAGCTTCTCAGCTATGAAGGTTGCTCATGTCTCTGGGACGATAGGTGGTAAGGAGATGCCTCTCTCATTTGACCTGCAAGATTTCATCAAGTTTGTGAAGAAACGCAACAGGCTTCCAGTACACACACTATAGCTGGCCAGACAACCTCCAGGACCCTCAGAGGAAGCCAGCTAAAACGCTGGGTGTGATGTTGGAAGAAGAGCTTTTAAAATGTTTCAATGAGGAAGAAAA